ATGACGATGTTGTATAGTCAAATTCATTAGCGCTTCAATAGATGCGAGCTATTCCTTCCTGGATTCAACATTTCAATCAAAGTTTTTTCTAGCATTTCGTTGGAACACTTTGAATTCAATAAACAGAGCCACGGTCTTGTGATATTATCTTGTGAGTATGTTGATGACAGATAAAATAAATATGTTCGATGCCAACACTGAATTTAAAAATGGTTAAGCACGGGAAATTATGCGGTTTTTTGTTTTAGTAACTCGTTTGGCTTCCTAATTCCGATTCCGAAATGTATTGAACATGTCTGTGTGAATAGCACAAAAAAAGAGTATTTTGTTTCAAATCAATGTCCTTCATTGTGAATGCGGCTCCAAGTAAAATATACGTCAAGGCTGTTCACGCGAATGAAACAAAAGCTGAACAAAATCTAGCAGGAAATAGAGCTGATATTTTTTTGTGTTTGCCGATGAATTCTGTATTTCTCTATGATTTTAATATCATTTTATTTCAAGGATCACATAAAACCGATTTCAGGCAGGTGCAGTGACACAAATCGTGGCTGCTTCCATATCATAAATTTTCAAAATTCCATTAACGACATGAATTCAACTTAAAGGAAGAATAACAAACACATTTAGATGACTTCAAATTTTAAATGAAGAATAAGGTTCGAATCGTTTCTAATTGAAATGACTTTGTACCGATTCAAGGTTTCCCATGTGAATCTCGTTGTGGTCACTTGTCTTTATTGCGGTTTTATGTACCATTTCGAATGGTTGAAATGAGATTTTTTGACATTCACAAGAATCTCTTTAAACTAAATGATCGATCGTCTGTCTACTCCACATATTAACCATAAATGTGTATTTGTATGTGGCCAAAATGACAATTTAATGAAATTAAGTGGACACGGGTACAATTTTATCATATCACACTGAACACATTTGCGGACTTGTCAATATTGCAAACAGTGTTAATACAAATACATGAGTGCATTGTGTATGTGTGTGTCTGTGTGTTCGTTTTCATTATCAGGGATTATTCTTCTAAAAAGAAAGAATGTTGAACAGGCAAATGAGATTAGGAGAAAAAGTTTTTTTTTCGTTTATTACATAATCATTTTCTTCTGGTTAAAAACATTTTCCTCCTCTCTTCCTCCTTCCACGAATTCAGTGAAACAATCCCTGTTCATTGTACTGAACACTGATATAATGAAAGAAGAACACCATACGAACATTAATCGAAGGAAATGAGTGAAAAAAGAAAAACATAGCGATCGCACTCAAAAATGAAATGAAATGAATAAAAATAAAGCTCAAATAATGAATGACCGTAAAAAAAAATATATGTACGTTTAAGAGCTGGCCATTCGTTTGATAAAAATTGTTGAGCATAGTCGATTAGGGAAAGTACACGAACGTACACGTTTAAGAAACGCAAAAAATAAATAACCGATCGAACGACCGATTGGCTATAAAAAATAGCAATAATTAAAAGCGTATTCGAAATGAAAAACAGCCACAATCCTTCAATGTGTATGCTCGCAAACCCGTATGTAAATTACACACACGGAACTCGAAACATATTCGTGTGCAGAGACTGTTTCGATATCGTGTCGAAATGTTTTTTGTTGTTGTTGTTTTTTGTATATTCAATTTCTATATTCCGTCATTTTGAACGAAGTACATAATAAACACCAGCAACCGACAACCGACAAAAAATCATATGTTTTTTAAGAATGCGATTGAAGACAGAGAGCAAAAAAAAGCAACCATGTAAAGGTCACAATGGCTCAAATATATAATGTAACCAAGGCCACTATGGTATAAACAATCATTTTCATACGAATTCTATGTGCTTGTGATTGTGCTTAGCACATTGATGCTTTTTTCAGCAGTTGAATATATAAATCAATGAAATATGAAGACGTTGAGCTTGTGTGTGCTAAACTTGACGAGTTTTGTCGTATTCTCTCCCTTTTCACAAACGATGACGAATAAATGAAAATATGCACGTCTATAGCTGTGAGTCGACGAGCGATAACGTACTGACAATTTGACATATACGATGCAATTTTTATAAATAATCAATCGCTTTTATTATGACTGGCTAAGAGAAGAAATTTATTTTTTGTTTTCTTTAATTGTGCGCAAAAGAAGTAAATAATGCGTCGATATGTGTTTTCTTCGCACAATTTTGATTGCTCACTGATTCATAATCATATTACAGCCGAATGAACTGTGGCATTTCGGTTAATGTTTTAAGCGCATTCTCTTTATCGTGCGAATGCGTTTGGTTCATACTTGTGTAGACCATGACTGTAGACATAGGGTATTTGAACTCGGTTTATCATATGTTAAACAACAAAGTAAGCAACAGAAAGTTCAAGAGTCTAAAAACTTTGAACTGTCACACAATTTATTATATCACTACGTATGGTTGGAAGTTTTTATTTTCTCTAGTCATCGTTATGAAAATTGATATGGAAAAAACTTTTCGTGTCGAAAAAAAAAAAATGGTTGCGTACATAAACGAAAGAAGTAGAATGAAGTGACGTCTTAGTCAATTTTTTTTTCGTGAATTTTTAATCTTCAACGAATGATATGGCGATGGTGTGAACAAAATACGTTTCACATCCCCAAATGTCAGACTATACCGTCAAATGACTCGGTTTCTTGCATCATATTGCTGTGTACATTTCTTCTTTTTTTTTCAATTATAGTCGAGCAATCGACTAATTTATATATATAATGTGTATGTGTGTGTGTTTGTGCTCATTTAGCCGAATTAGCAAACATCATGATAGGACCTAGATATTTTGATTGTTGTTGTCGTTATTCGTATGATTAATCTTGTTTTCTCTTCATCATTCTTACAATTAATATTTGCATGTTTTCTTTCTCACAGTTTTGTTGTTATTTGCTGCGTTGGGATTTGCAATAAGTTTCAAAACAATTCACTTCTCAGAAGAAAATGAAACACAGCCGAGAAAATTAGCACATTTAATCAGATTTAAAGACACTGTAATAAACAATAACAACAATAAAAATTCACATTGTTTACAGTGTGTTCGATGTCCATGATGTATGTGGCAGACGGTAAATTCGTATGGCTCCAACGAACCAAATAAAATATATCCAATGGTTTAGGTGCGGATACTCCGACTAAAAATCGTATATGATGTCTCGAAACTCATGCAAGAATAGGTGTTAAATTGAGTAAAAACGAAATGCGAGAGAAAATATAATCGAAAAATATAAAAAAAGAGCATCGCAATCCGCATGAAGAGTTACGAGTAAAAATAAATTCGCCTGTGCTGCAGCTGTGAATATTAGATTCACAGACCCGTCTAGATAGACGCAAAAAAAGAAGAATAAAGTATATGATAAATAAATTTCATTTCGATGAAATATATGGCAAAGGCGTTTTCTTTCTGCCTTTGTTTTTTACAATGAAAAGATTGTACGATGTTTGTGTTTTTTTTCTTCTTTTTCTTCTCTGCTTTATTTCAATCTGTATATAAAATAAATACCAGAAACAAAAACAGATCGGCGTGGCACACGGCATGAGTACGCATCAAGCAGCAGCGCTACTTAATCATGTATGTATAAAGTGAACGAAGCTTCACATGAGCGTAAAGTAATGATACGTTTGCTTCCTGCTCTTCTTTTCGACTATGATCAGCATAAGCACGCACACGCACACGCACGAAATCATCAATATAGTTGTGGTAGTTTGGCATTCTATATGCTTTTCTTTTTGTTTTTATTTCAACTTTGCATTGAATTACTGTGGTGACGTATAAACAATTGTTATCGCTTCTTCGAAATTCACGAGTCATGGACTGAGACTAAGCTGACCATTTTTTCTAGAACATACTTGGAATTGGACACAAAGGTTCAGCATTTGATTTGTTTTGTTTTTTTTTTTTTCGTATCGGTGTTTCTTTCAATTCGCTGAAATTGTCTTTTGATTCACTGACAATTTATATATATTTTTTTCGTTCAATTTCGCTGTCTCATCTTGTTTGTTTGCTGGTTGTGTTTGTATGCGAGCACGTCTGTGTCACTAACACACTAATGACTCTCTTTTTTTCGGATGAAATGTGACAATGTATGCTTCATATGAGAATTTCATTTCATCAGTAACGCACACACTTTAACACATGTATATGCACATCAATACATACATCCGATACACAAACACAGTCACAAATCGGCGTCATTTGTGTTAGTGAGATTTTACAGCTGGATGAAATTGAATACTTACGTTTCACTTATGTCGTTGTGATATTATTCATTAAAAAAATCCACGTATAGAGAAAGAGCCAAAAAGGAAACAACAACACGAAATGAATTGTATATGGAATCTATTATACGAAAAATAACAACTTTTTTTTTCGCTTGTTTTCTTTGCTATTTCTCTCTACCTCTCTGGTTTTATATTTAAATTTATTCGGCCGCCACGTTAACTTGCAGCGACAGGCACAAAACTGAATTTTCTCGAAATTCGTTTCATTATTTTAACGCAACGTTTGTCGATGTCATTATCCTATTCACAGCAAATGAACAGCAAAAAAAATACACACACACATTGATAAAATACCGTGTTTTGTTTTGTTTTTCTTCTCCAAATCGAAGAGAGAGAGAGAGTGAGAGAGAGAGAGAGAAAAAAACGATGGTATTCTTCGTTTTAAATGTTTATTATGAAATTTCACTGGCAAATGCATAAAAATATCGGACGACAATTAAAACTGTACTATTTTCATTCTCTCATTCTCTTCAATGTTATCTATCATTCTGCTCCGTCATCGGGTTTCTTTATGCTCATTAGTCAAATCATTTGTATCACAAGACTTCGTTTATGTATTTACTGTGTCACATGCACGAATGAGTACAAACTAATCATTTGAAAATCGTTTGGATTTTCGTTGCTTATCACAAAATATCACACAATAATATCTATAAAACCAAATAGTTAATTACTACGAGTAATTTATGTTCTTTACCTTAAATCGCACTGACAAATATCACCAAAAATTCGTTTGATAATTTGTGTTGTGTTTAATTCAATTGCCTTTTGTCGATAGATTTTCGTTTCTATTTATTAACTTCTTTTTTTTTAAATGAATAAAAAGAAAACAATTAATGTTTATATTGTTCGAATTAGCTTTGGAGCTCTTTGCTCTACGAGTACTGAATCGCGACTGAAACGTATTACACACCAAATGAAATTCCAATTTCTCGAATTCCTACAGCGTATTATACTTCACACTCAGTGGATTTCTTTGTTCGCATGTTCTCTCTCATACACAAACGTGCTACTAACACATTATACACACACACACACATACACGCACGCACACAACAGCGATTGAGTCACATAAAGAAAATCAACAAAAAGCAGCATGAGAGAAAGGAAACTGACTGAACTGTGTTATACACACACCGATACGACGTCAAATTATAAATACATATACAATCTAATCACACACCAACACATATAAACCACAACAACTGTATAGTGTATACATTTATAAAATGTACGTCACTTTTATGGTCATATATTCTCTCTATGCTGCGATCAACTTTCCTTCGTTTGTTCCGAGTTTTATGTTTTTCTTTTTGTTTCTGATCTTTTTTTCGTTGTTAAATGTGATTTTGACTCATATATAACTTAAGTGACGTGCAATACGTGAATACGTGAATGAGGTCGGCCAGAGCATTGGTTAAATTGAGATAGTAAAAGAATAAGATAAATGAAACGATGTGCTTACGCTGTTGACATGTTGTATTGTGTCAATGTGTGTCTGTGTGTGTGTTCATACGACATAGGCCATGCCATACATATTGTACGAAAACACAGGTGCACGGTTCATGCATTGTATGCGTCTGTGATCGCATGCTGTCATTAGTGTACGGTACGTGAATGTGTATGTATCCGTATTCATTAGGCTCTTTTCTTTGGCTCGCACTTACAATTTTTGTTGTTGTTCGGCTACATTTTATCGATGTTCGGCTTTATTTCCTTGGATTGAGTTCGAATGGAACTCACCATCTGTATATTCATTCGTTTTTATAAATCTTCGATCGTAGATTTCGATATAAAAAAAAAAACATTTGATATCTTCTTGGCTAAGAGCTCTCAGTCATAAGATTTGTATAAATAACGAACATCAATTCGCGTGAATAACCAGTCATCATTGCTTGATGATTAACCAATACACAGACACGGACTCACAAACAAAGCAAGTGAGAAAGAAAGAAAACGCCAACAGATACGGTTGCGGTGCTTTGCTTTTAGCTCACAAATTATTGTGATTTCGTCATGTTCATGCCTCGCATGGGTCATGCAATGTATACAAATAGCACATATATATATATGAAAAAACGCAAGCTAATATATTCAAATGCAGAAACGATTTTTCTCCATTGTTTGCATTGCATCGAGTGTACGGCGTAGTATGTATGGATAATTTAATGTTTTGCGTTTTTTGTTTCATTGCGACTCAACGGCAATGGCTAAATATATTAATGCTAATGCTCTTATATTTTGTCGATGTGTGCATAAAAAGCACATAAAATATATAGCAATAATCGACAGAGAGAAGACATACATGCTCATTTATATATATATTTGTTTGTGTGTGCAAGACACAAACCAAGCGAGAGAGAAGGTTTTGTCAACAAGCTGTCACACGATAACGACAATATTGAATCGAACAAGATCAGAATGAAAAAAGAGCGAACGAAAGAGAGAATTGGATGACGAAAAACATGATGAAAATGCGTTTATATTTTTGAAATTGGACGATGAGTGTACTGGGGGAAAACCGCAATGTTGTATGTGGATTCAAAAACAGATATAAAGAGCCCACACTTATTTCCGCACGCTTACACATGGAACCAACCGATACACAACACAAATGAAATTTGAGAAATTATAGAAAAAAATACGATAGTTTCTATTGAAGAAAAAAAATGGAAAGTAAATAAGCACAAAAGGCGATAAATAAATGGCGATCATATTATTCCGTTAAAATAATGCTTACATAAAGTGTAATTGTATTTTTACACTTTACACACTTCTAAAAATGTTTTGATGTGCTCGGGGCGATTTGAACGATTTATTATTTGTTGCTGTTTTTGTTTTTCATCTTTTTTGTAGCAATTGTCTATTTTTGAAAATTTCAAATTCCATGTCTGAAACTTCATTGTGAGAAATATTTCTTTTGTGTCGTGCATTAAACGTGCACACCACAGCTTGAGCTTTGTCCAACCATAAATTTTATCAGTTCAATTTCCGCTTTGTTAATTTTTTATTTCTCTTCTTCTTTCAACCGAGATATATAGGATGCATATTGGTTTTGTAAAGCGACCATTTTGTTTAGTTCTTGTTTAATTTGAATATCCAATGATCTTGTATATGAGTGATATATGAAACGCACTTGCTTTCATCGCAGCGCTTCAAGCATCGGAGCAAACGTCGTCGTCGACTCGTATAGCTCAAACGTTTTGACGATGGAACTAATGACGTGCTAGGCGACGCACATGTTTGAGTTTGCAAATGACATATGACTTATTATAGCGAACAACTCAACGGTTGCCTTCAACTTGTTTTGTTTTGTTTTGTTGATTCCTTTGGCAACGATTTTATTCCAAATGAAAATTTAGCTGATCGATTGCATTTGCTCATAGTATTGTCAAGTCACAGAAGCAATTCAATTTTTTTTTGTTCGATAAATTTGCATGAAATGGAAGGTTTCCGGCATATGTTACGCACTTATAGACGGGAAAATTATCATAATATGAACGTTTTGCGAAGAAAATTCTATTTAAACAACCAAATCAATTACTTATCAAATATGAAAAAAAATAAGTAAATATGTAATGTAATTCAATGGCATTTAATAATATGTAGCTATTAAAATGCGTACTTATATTCAGAATTATTCGCATTATAAATCCGCAAAAAGTAGTGCACATGGACTACGCATATGCGATTCAAAAGTCTCCAAATAATTTGTTTTGATCGAATTTAATTTTGTATACATTTTTCATTATGTTCTAACTCTAATAGCTCATTATGATGTTTGAAGCAATGATTAGCACGGAAATGTTGTTAGCTTTTAATTACTTTTAAGTTGAAATGATTATTAATTTCAATTTCATTTATTATTTCAGTCCCAATGAGGTTTGCATGCCATTTAATTATTGTCAAATAATTACCGAATGCATAGTAGACTTGTCTAAATCCAGTTCTCTCTCGGATCTTTTTTCCAATGCCATAGTTTGACATTTTTGTGGATTTTCATTCGAAGGCTCAAATTATGGATGCATGCACATTGCAGAGATTTGCACATTTTATTCGAATTGTAGACATAGACTACATAGAATCGCTTGATAAGTTCACATGTTTCAGAGAGTGTAATTCTAATATTGATTTAACATCACCACGAACATATCATTCTGTTTGCTCATTTGTTATCATATTTGAAACGCAATAATGCGCACTTCAAAATCACAGAGTGCGCACAATTCGCTTTTGTTTTCATGAAATACGCAGTAATTCAAGTGGCTAGGCAGCATACCAGACCATATGCGTTGAATGTTCATATATATTTCATTGTCAATTGTTATGATAGTTCGATATCAAAAATATTTGTTGATTGTTCTCTACGTCAAATGGATCGTACAGCGCAACAAAATGCTACATAAAGTAATAAATTTAAAGTGCGCACGTGCATTTTGAACAAAGAAATATATTTAAAAAAACGTAAAACGTGTGCTGTTTGGCGTTTTATTTTTCTACGAAGAAAAAAAAAGGAATTTAATAGTACATTACTAGTCTTGTTAAGTGCAAGCTGTAGGTACATCCCAAGACTGGTTTTTGTTAACTTTCAATAAATCTGATGGCAGAACTGTTCTTTGTTAATATATTCAGCTTAAACGCCCATCCCTATTTGATGTTTCTTTTTGTTTAATATATGATATTTTTTCAGCTTTGCCGTATTAAAATGTTGAGAAAAGCTAAAATGGTAAAAATATCTTAAAAGAATAGTTATGCACAAGAATGACCTCGGGTTTCTCAATTTTTTTTTTATTTAATTCGCTGAAAAATCAACGCGTTTACATGGTGTGAGTTCATTTGTTTGATTTTTTTATTATGCTACATATTCGTTTTTGCGCGTGTTTTTTTTGTGTTTTCACAATCATTCGATTGTTGAAAGTATCTGTTGGTGCATCTCTCAAGTTTACAGTTGAATCACAACGTAGCCTATGTAGTTTTAAAATATTTTACAAAAATTAGCCGAGAGATGTTTATTATTGAACTGTAGAACGACAGTTTTCATTGTTTTGTACATTGAAATTTATTTCAGAGAATATTGAGACATTGAAACTTTGTTCAAATAAACAAGAGAAACAACAATAACGGGGAAGCATCGAACTACATGAGTGACTGAATAACGCGTAATTTTGCAAACATCTTTGTTTTTCTGTTCTGGTTGTGCTGTTTTTTGTTCTTTTTTTTTAAGAAGAGAAGAAAAATGCATTAAAACAAAGGGAATTTTATTTCATTCGGACTTTGACTGGATGCTACGATCGCGGTCGCTGTCACTTCTGTTGTTAAACGCTCTGAGTGTGAATTTATCGTTGTGTTTGTGCATTGCAATGGGCTTGCGTCGAGTAAATTCAACATACAATGACTAGACAACGGAATTTAAATTTTTATATGTGAATTTTAGAATACGATCTGCTTCGAAAATTACCAGCGCGATGTGCAAATCGAAACCCTATAAAAATATAATATTTTTTTAATTCGCGTTTTGTACAGTATCGCTCTCCATTCGACTGGCTGAAGCAATGCGCTCTGCCTATGTCTTGAGTATATTTTTAATACCATGTGCTCAATTTCTCTCCTCGGCTACAATTCATTTTGTATGGTTTAATGGTTCGTGAGTGTGTGTTTTTTTTTCCTTTCATTTATTTCTTTATATTCAAGAACCAATGTTGAATATAAAATCCCATTCTGTAATAATATTACCAGCAGCGTTGGCAATTTGGGTACACTCTTCCATTTCAGTAGTTTTGCATGCAGTTGTTTGGCAATTTGAATGTTCGTCTATTTGGGAAACATCAAGAACAGTTGCACATGAAAATAACTTGGGGCAAATCGGGAAAAGTGATTAATTTTTTGTTGTTGTTGTTGCATTGAATTGTTTTAAAATGAATTCAAAAGCTCAATGAAAACGATTTGACGAGATTGCAATTGCATTGTATTGCTGCTGATGCAGCAACAAAACATGTCACATGTGAAATAAATCCTTTTCATGGTTCAATCACACTTAACAAATGCGTTGATATCTACTTCAAGCAGAATAATGAATTTGCATGCCTTTTATTTGGTTCCGTGTATGGATCGTAATTCATAGCAATAAATCAACAAGGGGTCGCTGTGCTTTGCCACTATTATTGTTCATTGTTTGCGTTCATTTATTGTGTATTAAGGAATTTAGATGGAACGCACTTTATATTTTATTCCGTATCAAATAATTTTCTTCCAGAGAAAACGTTCAAACTCAATGTTACAATTCACCGTGTATTTCCATGGTGCAAATTCAGGCAAACATAACTGCACTTTTGAAAATAACAACGGCGAAAAACGATATTAACTACAGCTTGAAGAAGACCCTGTTTTATTTTATGTTTGGATCAAATATCGCAATTAAAATGTGAAAGAAAGAAGAAGAAAAAAGCGGTGCATTTATATGCAAAATGGTAACTAAGAATAGAATATTATTATAATATGCATTTACTATTTACATCACGCACACGTGTATTGCTATTTACTGAATTAAACATTCACAATCCAAAAGATAAACAAAACGACGGCGTGATCATCTTTGAATATGATTTTCCCTACTTCTTCTTCTTTTTCAAATTGTTGAATTATTTGTCGACCAATGCAAATTGAATTACAGTAAAAAAAAATTCGGTGCGTATTTGAAAGCAAAACCGCAGCTTCACAATTTTAAAAATGAGTTTACATGTGACCACAACAGTTCGATGGTATTTTCGAATATGGCCACCAAACTCTTGATAGAACACTACGTATTAGCAAGCTTGCACCTCTTTGTTTATATCTAGTTTCGATCATATATGTATATAAGCCCGATGCTTGCATGTGTGTATGATACAGGCCACACACGATTGTGAATGTAGCGTGGCGCACGCTCATCCATGCCAATATGTTCCCATGTGTGAATTGGTAAATCATGTAAATGTATGTGTGTATATATGTGTGTGTAAAATAAAACTGCAGACCCTCTCTACAAGGTCAGTGGCCTTCAGGGAGTAAATGAGAAAAAGAACATTATTTATATACATAAGCGCAAGTATACACGACTCGTATTCAAGTCAAACAAAGAACAAAACAAAGCCAAATGCAAACATACTTTCCAAATCATATCAAATGTTATTCTTTCTTTTTTTGTTGCACTTTATATTCAAATCCAGTAGTATAAGCACACATCAAACAAATGTATAAAATTCCGTTATGGATTCCGTGCGTTTTTTTTTTAAATTGGTCCGTGTTCCAATTTACAGAAAATAAAAACAACTTAACGGCAGAACATTTTAAAAACAAATCACATTGCAACGAAAAGATGTTACTTGTGATGACAATGCAAGCGCGTGCTCATAATCGAAAATATACTTTGCATTTATTTATCATTTTAATTAAATAATAAATTATGCACATTTGTTAAAAAACTGTTATATGTTAATAGTTTTTCAGTTTGTCAAAAACATATTTGAAAATGTGCGAAAGTGAACTGTGAACGATGAAGGCACATTCATAATCTACAGCACGTTATCACATTTATAACCCATATAACTCATTTGCGGAGTAATTTTATCGATGACGGGACTGTGCGGAGTTCAGCGGAGATAGCATGCAAATGCTGTGTGTACGAGTGCAACAGCGTTCTTTGCTGTTCATAGATTTATTTTGTCCAATCGTACATCTTAGTAGCCGTACACACAGCTAAGTTACTAATAATCTGCGTAAGAATGATACACATAGAAGTGCTGTTACCCTCGTACACACAGAGTTTGTATGTCATCTCCGCCAAACTCCACACAGTCCCGCCACCGTCAAAATTACTCCGCAAATGAATTATATGGGAAGCGATAACATTTGTCCATTCACACATTTACGTCTACGTTCAATATCACTTAATTTATAGGTATCAGACCCGTGGCACGGTCATCAAGCAGCCATGCGTTATCATATGACAATGACTGTAGTCCGAAAAAAAAACACGCACAATGTACGATAAAAGAAAACACGAAATCAGAGGGCGAAAAAAATTATTGCAATAATTAAATAAGGCAAAGTCGCAATAGCACGCGGCTCGTGTACGACAGCTATCAAGTAATACGCCATAGAATTTTGCTACGTAGATGATATAGCCACGACGCATATGAGTCAGGAAAACATGATTGAACCATTCAACCAGTTTGAATTGAACAGCTTTATGATTGCGAAATCATAGTCGGAATTTATTCAAATTGAAGTATTTCAAGTTCGCGAAATGTCTATTGATTTTTATTTTTAAATGTAGACTTTTTTTTATTATTATTCTCGTTTGATGTAAGAACTATACACTTTCGATAAATATGTTCCATTGTGTGGCTTTAACCTCATTTGTTCACACCCGTGTGCATCGGTGGAAATATCATCAGTTTGATCGAATCCACCACAAATATTGGGCTTCGCAATGAAACATTAAGTCCCAATATTGACTTTAACTAAAAGTGTTCAGTGCGAATAAAAAAAAATTGTTGAACATCGTGACCCAAATTCATGCACAAAAGTGAATATCGATTTATTTGCGTTTCAGTGGCGTTACTTGATGGGCTAATTTTTTTTTCATCTGTTGGATGTATTGAAACATTATTTGTTTACGCTTGTTTTTTCACGTTTTCATGCAATCAGGAAAAGCAGTTGCTGTGAGTGGAACGAAGATTGGAGTGGAATATTTTTTTGAGGCATTATAGGTCGTCGTGTCACTATAAGTGGGAGCATGGACTGAAATATCAACAGGATGGCTATGAATTTGCATTACAAGAACAAATAGTTTGTTTGTTTTTTTTACCATCGATGCCGTTAGTGAATTCATTTGAATGGCTTTGGCGTGACCTTGAATTCAAATTCGTTCATCAAGTCTACTCACTGACTTTTCTCGTTACGTTGTACATTTGATGCTCACAAAGGAATTTAATGTATTTGTTCTTGAGAAATTCAATGTTCTACAATGGTTTTCATTGCTTGCAGTCTTACCGTGCCAATGCACAGTATCATCATATTACATTCAATTATACGACTTATTCACGTGAATCGGCCCAATAAATTGATTTGTATTTTATTGCATTCGTCATTGTTTCGCCTACATCATTTTCATTCATTCCATCTTACGTTTTAGTATGTTGCTAACACGATCTTCGCCCGACTAATTCAAAGTTCACATTTTGAGATATAGGTTTGGTTCGGTTCGGTTCTATTTGAATTAAAACAAGAATTCATTGCATCATTTTAAATACAAATATAATGTAACCTATAAATGTCAATTTTGATTTAATTCACAGATCGTTATATCATAATTAGAGTTCAAATGAACAATGTTGTCATTTGTACAAAGGTGATTTCAATAATAGCGAAAAACAACAACTAAATAGCATTATTCGAAAATCGAAAGAAATTATTGCAAAAGAATATTGGAAACAACAAATGTTGGTGTAGTTTGTCAATTGATGAATTAAGACAATCAAAGTAATCTGCTTGTATTTCCTACATAAAAGCATTAGAGTGGTGCGTGCGAATGTGTTGATTGAATGTAACAAAATATGTGGGCCATGACATGATATACTGGTACTATTTTATCTCGTCTAAGTCCCTCATACGATTGGGATGTGTGTGTGTGTGAGCGTGCATGCGTGCGTGCGTGTGTGACAAGTCAATGCATAGCCTAAAGTAGCAGTAGGCACGCAAAGCACGTATATACGTACGTACGCCTCTATACGTAATGTGTGCAGAGTGTATACAAAACAGCCATTGTCAGGCACACATGATTAAATATATTGTTTTTGTTTTGATTTCAGTTATTTAGGAAACCATCGTTGCCGTTTCTAACACTCGCATACAATCGCGGATAATTTTCTAAATGGCAATAAGAAGAGAGAGAGAGAGAATAAAAACACATACACACAACACAAACGATGCCAGACCATTAAAATATTTCTTTTTGAATTTCGTCAGTTGGTGGTTTGCTGGCGAAACAATATTGAATTAATTTTGTTCACATTGAACATTACGTCAATATTACCCACAGATGTGCTAAAGTGAAACCAAAACAATGGCAACAATGGGAATTGTCATCGAAACGTGAAGAAGTAACGTGTGATTCGAAATTCAATTGCAAAACTCAATCTCATTGTGAAGTAATAACGCGTATTCTAGACGTTGGGAATTATATATTTAAATGATCCACACTTTACATATTTGGAATGGGTCTTCTATTTAATTGTTTGCTTGCGAACGGTTTTTGATTTCAATTACAGTAACATTCAAATTTAATTCAAACTGAGACGAGCATCACAAATCGTAAAGCTTGCAAGTTTTCGTTTAGCAAAAATTCGTGTTGGCGAATGCAATACAGACGAGAAAAAAAAAATACGGCAGTTTTCAATGGTAGACAACTGATTATAAGGATAACTATGTACTCAATTATTGCATTCACATCTATCCACATGTCTATTCTGTAGCCCCGAGTGTTTGGCAACAGTCAGCTGAAACGCAAACACTTGCGCGTGTCTTATTTGCCAACAATAAATGGGAGTATGATGTCAAATGTAAGCAAATATCGATTCGAATGATTCAAAATATGTCATAATGTATCTGTTTTTCTTCTTCTTGATGCTTTACCAAAATTAATTGACGTTCTGTTTTTCAATTTTGATTTTTATTTTTGGTTGCAGCGATATAGAAGAAGAGAAGAAATACGTTTATCTTTGCACATATAAAAAATAAACACGCACACACAAACACAGTTTTCACAAAAATGTCCACGCACTTGAAATTGCAATTGAATGTATAGGTCTGTGGCTGTTGCCAAAAATAATAGCCCAACTTTGAATTGAGAATACAAGGACACAAAAGAATGTCACCGAACATTCGAATAACTACCGTTATAACATGGATGATTGTAGCCAGCTATTTCATCTAATTAAGGGACCAAACGTTGAGAACTTTTTTATTTTATTGCAAAATGTTGACAGAAAATCGCAAATGAATCAAACTGCTTTGTTATCGATATTCTTTTGAATTTATAAACTTTTTTTTTAAGCATACTAATAATGAATCTGTTCAGTCAATGCAACTTCTTAAAATATGATTCTTGATGATTCTCGATTTCGTTATAAACAAACGGCGCATACTTATAGTATTTCGTCATTATTTTTTGTATCATTTTCCGTTGAAATGCAGGAACTAATGAAATGCTCATGGTTATTTGCACAATGTTTAACCAAGTCAGTCAAATGTTCGTTTCTTAAATGACGGAAATTCAAAACGAAATAAATCTCACAATTAATTACTCGCTGACATAGTTGTTTTTTTTTTCTTCAAGTAGATGTGTTTTTTTCTTCTGTCGAATTTTGTTTTTTTTTTTTTTTATCGAATTCGAATGATAGAAAAATGCATTTTCCACAAAAATTGTCATAATAAATTTGGTGAAATCCATCGATCGACTCTCATTCTTTTGTAATTCATTTATTTTATTTCTCGAACCATTGTGTTAAGTTTAATTACACGACGTCGAAAAGCACAATGTAAAAATGGCTGCCATTGCGAACAAAACAAACTGGTTACAGTGCACATACACTTCATAGATACGATGATTTTTTTTCGTCTCGATTTCATCATTCAATTTTCGTCGTAATGCGTTGAATTTTACTTGAATTTAGACGATAAAAAATTTTATTTAATTTACTTACTCAATTCGATTTGAATATCCGTTTAATTGTATGTCCAATAAAGAAATTATATGTATTTGAAATTGAAAATGACACGATCAACCTTTTCACCACTCACAACGCACAGAAACCTTTTCTCTGTCGATTTATTTTCCTTTGGCTGTGCCGTAGTAGTCTTGTTATTAACAGTGGATGACATGAAATATTTTGTGTTATGTTCACAGCGAAAATAAGATCATGTGACCGAAACTCGACGATGTGATTGGTTGACGGGTGTCGATTTTACCGATTGGAAAGTCATTATTACAAGGCTGTGGCAATGTATGAGTAGATTTGCATTGGTATTGGTGTACCTTCAAGTCAAAATTAACAAACTTCTATTTTGTGGTAATTCATGACATAACGAACCATATAACCACTTTGATGTGCATTTGATACATTTTTTTCACATAAAATATTCGACCGATGAATGGTATACGAACAAAAATAGTGGTAATTACAATTCTCACATTTTTCCGGGGAGAAAAGATAAAAAATGGTGAGAGGAAATTGTAGTTTTTTGTCCTCTAAACCGTATACGTAAAACAAGTACATTCTTATTCGAAATTATTTCCAAATTTCGTAGATCGAAAATGACAATTACGTAAAAATGAATCAGTGACACTGACATCTACGTATAATAGTCTGTCAAAAAATTATTATACGCATACGTCTCTGCTTGAATACTGTTTCTGAGAATACATTTTTTAGAGTAATATTCACAATATTTATTTTACGGATACATTAAAAAAAAAATGGGAAAACAAGATAAGAAAAAATTGAAGCCAATCGGTTCGTAACTGATTTATTGACATCTAAAAATAATTGAAATTATATTTGATTTAACAAATTTTCATTTTGCTATATTGCTTCCATTTAGATAAGTCGAATGCCGTCGAAAATTTTCCGGTGGAAAAATATTTTTCCGAATTGTTGAACGAGGATAAAAGTTTATCGGCTGGCATTGCTGCGATAAAAACCTTGTTAGCGGTTCTAAAGAAAACCAAATGTAAGTGTTTTTTGCTTCAATCATTGGTACTTTCGAATTTCATCATAATGACATCCATTTACAGTTGACACCGTACAAGAGTTACACTCAACAATTCAAACGACCGTCAAAACAATGCGAACTTCAGATCATCCAATTACGGCTATTGTTTCAGCCAGTGAATTATTTTCACGGTTCATCACACTTGCAGCATTTGACGATAAAACAGCTGATGAATGCAAAGCGTTGATGTTGCATCGTGGCGAAATATTTTTAAAGAAATTGCTCGAAGCACGGAACATCATAGCCAAGCAATGTGCTCAATTCGTTACGGATGGTTGTGTAAGTTGTTTTATAAATAGTACATTTCCATCAAATTATTTATTGTGTGATTATTCTGTATTATTACAGCGAGTTCTAACACATGCCCGATCTCGTGCCGTTCTCGAAACATTAATTTTAGCAGCAAAATCGAATAAACGCTTCCATGTATATGTGACACGCAGTTCGCCGGACAACACAGGCGAACAAATGTGTAACGAATTGAAGACGGCTGGTATTGAATGTACTTTGATTTTAGATGCAGCTATTGGATATATTATGGAATCGATAGACATTGTTTTAGTTGGGGCTGAAGGTGTTGTTGAAAGCGGTGGAATCATCAACAGAGTTGGAACTTATACAATGGCATTGTGTGCACGTGAAATGAAAAAACCGTTTTATGTGCTTGCCGAAAGTTTGAAATTTTCGCGACTTTATCCATTGAATCAACGTGATCTACCCAATGATTATAAATTCTCAAAACAAAGTTTAACAGAGAATCTGACACAAGCACATCCATTAGTCGATTACACGTCTCCAGCTTATATAACACTCTTGTTCACAGACATTGGCATACTAACCCCATCGGCTGTCAGTGACGAATTGATTAAGCTATATCTTTGAATATTTTTCGATGTTCAAACGAATAAATCTCTTTAACTGTTATTGCGACTAAAAAAAAACCAGAAAATAAATAAACTCTTTTGATAATAATACAATATTTATTTTTATAAAGTTTGCATGTATTTGTATTTGAGGTGAAGCATTTTTTAATGTTTATTTAATTATTTCCATGAATTGTGTGTGAGTTTTTTTTTAGATCTTCTTAAATTATCTACGATGGACTTTAGAGAGAATCTACGATTGTGTATATTTCGTCAAAATGTGGCCTAGTATCCGGTTCATATGCCCAACATTTCAGCATGAGTCTATAAATTTCAGGGGTTGCACATTCAGGAGCCGGCATTCGATAACCTATCACAAATTAAATTTGGCAATACATATTTTATGAATTCATTGTGGTGCACTTAATTTACGAAGAGTATTCGTTCTCTTACCAGCATCGATTCGTTCTCTAGCTCTGGAATTACTCATTCCGGCATAGGGAGTATCGCCTTTTGAGAAAATTTCCCATATTAAAATACCGTATGACCTAAATAAAGAAGATTTTATTTTAAAAAAATGCCATATTATAAGAAGAAAATATAAAGTGAAAAATAAATATATATACCAAACATCGCATAAGGATGTATATTTTCCGAAATTCAGTGCTTCTGGGGCGGTCCATTTGATCGGTATTTGTTTCATTCCATCAGACACAATGTACTCCTCTTCCTCTCGAGACATTCCAAAATCAGATATTTTAACTATATTTTCGTAACCTATTAAGCAATTTCGGGCGGCCAAGTCACGATGAATGCAATTCTTAGACTCCAAGTACCGCATACCTATCGTAAAAAACCGATTTCCACACACGAATCAATAAATAGTGAATGCCAATGAAAAAAAAGAAGAGAATGATAGAATACCTGCCGCAGCATCTCTACACATTCCAATTAATTGTTTCGTGTTGAGAGTTGCATTGTTTTTTCGCAAAAAACTTAACAATGATCCACCATGCACAAGCTCCATTACAATCATTATTGGTTGCTTTTGTACACATATTCCAATCAATTTGACTATGTTCGGATGATCATATTGTTTCAAAATGCGACCTTCTTGCAGAAATTTACGTTTCTGCTCGTCTGGTAATGTCATTCGGCAAGTTTTAACAGCAACTTCATTCTTACTTGACTTCAAACGTGCTTTATAAACATCGCCGAAATTTCCCTAAAAAAGATAAAATCGCAAAATATATTAACTGAATGTAGTTTTTGATGTTTTTTCACATTGTTCATCTTACTCGTCCAATTTTATCCAATAATATTACGTCATCGTTGCTCAACTCCCAAACTTCACGAGTTACAGGTCTTTTCAGTACAGCTCCTATTGAAAATAAATAGAAATTGTCAATGTGTGGATCGTGTTAATAATAATATGTATAAAATGCATGCATACCCGATCGTCCAGTTACAGGTAATTCAGATAGATGCTGATGCATGATCAATTCTTGGATGCTTGGAAATGCAGGACCTTCAAATCGATAGTGACCATCAATGGTGGTTTGAACGATGAAATGCTTGTGACCATTCCAACAAACGCTCAACACAATTTGACTTTCATCGTTTCGAATTGTTTCGCGCACCAGAAAATCGCCTTCATTTTTCAATAGTCTTACCTGAGGGGGGAATCACAAAAGAAAAGAATAAAATTTAAAATAATCGATAAGTAATCACGTGGAAACAAATTCGAATTCAATAGTCTTACCACTTCCTCACGTGGTAGAACTCCATGAAACCATTCCTCTTCGTATAGCGGCCGATTTGTTGACAGTGTCATCTATTCGATATAAATTGAACAATAATTCAATTAGTTAAATTTAAATGAATATTTCAACGAGTTGAAAAATCACTCAAACGGATTAGTATTTTATTCAAACCATGCAGTTGTAATTCGGTTTATCGGACTTTATTCCGCTCTGAGATTTTGAATGACCGATGCCTATGATCGTCTAAAAAACCATAAAAAGATCAAATTATAGCATCGGCCAAAAAAAATCTTACAGCGGAACAAAATTCAATAAGCAATTGCAAATAAAAGAAAGCAACTCAATATACATGCAACTCATCACATTCCAAATTTCGAAAATTTCATTTTTTTGCTCTTGTTACCAGAAGTGAACGGACTCGTTTTTTTCGAATTGGTGGCTTTGGCCGTGCATTACTTTCTAATGATGAGCAACTACTAAGTCTCCATGCAACATTCATTTTTCACTAATAATCCAGAATCAACTTAATTGAATATCGTTTGAGATCAGAAGCAAAACTGAAATTTATACAAAACAAATCACGTCAAACATAAACACAAACTGAGACATACTACGAAAATAATTCTCAATGAGTGCGAAGTTTCATTTAACTTGTCGAATGGACAGAATTTTATCTGTGTAATATGTACATTTATTTACTGTTGTCTGCGAGAGCGTAAAAGTAAATCGTTTACGATGTGTATATTTCATATGCACGAAAGATCACCAGCTTAAATAAACAGCGACGACGTTTTTTTTTGTGTGTGGGCGTTCTTTCGATACCGTGATGATTCGGTGAACTCTACAGATTCGATTTAAATACATGATGATGATGATGTTGATGTGCGCTATGAACTTTTTACGCTGACGACTCACGTGGCATTTTTTTTTAAATTAAAAGTTGATCATGATATTTGGTTTTAGACAAAATCGATCATTGATTAAGATGTACAATTCATAATAACATTATAAAAGGTTTAATAACAAATTAGTTTATTTACATGACAGTTATTTGATAGTTTTATATTAAATTTTTCATTCAATGCATATGTGTTTTTCATAAATACCAATCAATTCGTATGAAAAAATGCATTAAAAACGCATATCCAAAGAAATATTCAAAGTAAATTCAAAGTTAAATCATTCATTATCTGTGTAAACAACGCTGATTACTTATTGTGGCGCGTATAGGAAGTATTCAGTTTGTTGTCAAGTTCTAAGATTTTTTTTTCTTCTCATGTGTCATTGAAATAAATTATGTTATTAGTAACTGGGTGCCTTGTCCTTTAGAATGGTATCAATTTACTGAAAAGATGCTACCATATTGTGCTTTAAGTGTATCGTGTACAATATGTGACAACAAACCTTGACATCTTTGAAAAAATGTAGTCCGGTTTTTAATTTGAATTTGAAACGCTTTTTCAAGCTTGCTTTTTCGTTATCATCTTTGGCAAAATTATTTCCACTAAATCCGGCCACAACAACATCTGACATTGATTCATTTGGGATGGTATCTTCAGTCACCATATGTTTGAGCTTATGCTTAAGTGATTTACTTATGTTTGAAAAAAATGTATTCGTTTTAAGAGATGCATCTGATACAGTTGAATTTGTAGCCAATTCATCCATTTGTTCAGATTGTTGTTGGCTTGATATGATCGTATTGGCGACATTTGGCGCGCCACTATTAATTTCATAGAGGTTTTGCTCCGTCACAACATCGCCACTAATGACACACATTTCCATTTGAGCGATTGCCTGAGCGGTGACAGATTCATTTACGTAGCTATTGATTTGGTTTGTTTCCGATTGATTTTGATCGTCCGTATATTGCAAATCACTTGAATTCAATGAATCGTTGAAAAGAAAACGTAAAATATCGCATGATATGGATTCATTTGAACTAGTCGGATTTGATTCAGTTACAAGGTTTTTAGTAGGTAAAACATTGCTTAAATCAATTTCAGTATAAATGTTACTATTAGAAGCATCTGAGTTATCACTTAATAAAAATTGTTCGTCGTTCAGGCTCAAATTCATGCAATTTACCGCTGAGGTTCGTTTCGATTGCGGCACCGATGAATTTGACGCATCAGTTTTTGTTGTGGTTGCACCGTTTGCACCGTTGCTATTTGTTTTTCGCTTGAATGCTTTTATCATTGACAGCACTTCATTGCTTTTTTGCAGAATGAACGCAGCTGCTGCATGTGACATCTTATTAACCAAAACCAAAATAAATATGTGGAAAAAAAATGATACACAATGTGTTTATATACATATAAAATGCAAAAATCCCCAAACCACCTCTATACGAGCGGTAATATTTAGTGTTATTTGAGAGAAGTAGAGAGAGAGAAAGTGATTGCGAAGAAAATAAGAATGTCAACTTACCGGTTGTTGATCATTATTGCTGATGTTGTTTTCAATGAAGCTTGGATCTACGGAAATATCATCACATCCAGACGGAAGCTCCTCGCAACCAACTTCATTCAATGCAGTCTTTATTAAATCGGCCAATTTGAGCATTTGCTTTTCTTGACATCGTAATACCGTAAAGTCTTTCGAGTGTCTACTCAAAATCAAAACGATAAAATGAAAAAAAAAAAAAATGAAATCAATAAAATTAACAAATTGTTTTGTATTTTTTTTATGCTCACTTGTTGCTCTCCTTTCGACCATTGGTCAATGTCAAAGTTGATGGTATTGAAACTGTAACGCTTGTCCCATTTTCCAATTTTGATTGTTTCTCTTGACATTCTTTGACCGATGTCTCAAGCTCGGTGAGTCGATTTCGTAACCAATCTACAGTCAAATTATCTACAGTTAACGTATTTGGCTGAAGTTTTCCTAATGTATCTTTGTCCTCTATAAGCGTTTGATCAAATTGAAACACAACGGGTGCAGGCGGTGACGTTCTATGGATATAGAATTTCGAACAATTTGTATATAAACATATATTGGCTTCTAATTTTCTTACTTGTGTCGTTCGGTAAATTCTCGATATTCTTCGGCTGGATGGATACTTTGTATATTGCTTTCTATTTTTCGTTGAATGTCTTGAAAAGAATTCGACGTAAGATCACTATATTGAGATGCTTCTTGCAGAATGCCCTTCCTATTAAAATTTCAAACGAAAACCAAACGATAACGAAAGTGACATTTTTAATGCAATAAATAAGTTCGTCGCATGAAACGTACCAAACAACGACGAAGTCTTCTTGAATGGATTGTTGATGCTCCAATAAGCCGGGCAATAAAATTGTACGAAAATCGGTTTCAACTTCGGAAGCTTCACTTATCAATAAAACGTATTCGTTATGCGCTAAATGGAGTTTTCGACATGCTTTTTGGTATTTATCACGAACATCGTCTAATTTTCGACCCCCTCGACCAGCTAAATTTCGAAACAAAAATGTTTTTCAGTTATTATGCACAGACTGCGAATTGACGATCAAAGACTAGGCAGTTTCAATGTACGTTGAATAATTGGTAATTCTATAACCTTGTGCAGTTTCAATTACCTTTAATATAATGCTCTTCAAATTTCGATCGCAATAGTTTATAATATTCTAGATGCTTTTGATATTCACATTTTTTCCTTGTTACATCCTCTGTGATCTGAAAATGAAAAAGATCATTTTTGGTTTAAGAAAAAATGCAACATAGAATGTATATTTCAAAGGAAACTTAAACAATAAAATCGGAGAATAAAATACTTTAATTGATTAATTGAGAGGTTGAATATATGTATGTTCAATTGAATTAATGCTCAGGTGTACGGCGCATACATGTGATATTAGTGGCTTTTAACCAAGCGTGAGCAAAAAAAAACTTGATTTCAATTGATGTTGTAATTCCGATTGTGAACGCTTTTGTAATTCTGTCATCGGCACCATACATAGAAAATAATAACAATTAGTCGAAATAATGACATAGTACACATTTATCGCCCTCATCATTTTGGTCTCTTTTATTTAAGTGTGTAATTCTCTCACGACTCTTGATTGAGGTGATTTATAATTAAAAGTGAAAGAAACTCATGTGTGCATGTGCACACTAACCATTGTTTAATCACTGAAATTATGTTGTTGTTTTTTTTTCTTCATTAAATGTTATTGTTTATGTTGCTGTGAAGTGCGTCGCCAATTGTCTTGAAATCGTTTCAATTCGGAAAATTGCATCAAATGAATAATTTATGACGACATACTGGAATTGTGATTGCGTACATTGCACTGTGTTGTTCAACTCTACATGTGTGAAATTCGATAAAAGTGCTACCATTATTTAGTGGTTATTGATTGAGAATCTCTTGACCTTAACAGCTAAGGTAATCGGTTTACAGTTCTTATAATTTGTCTTAAGTGTCTTAAGCCAGTTTTGTGTTCGACCACACCGAAGCTTTGTTTATTTGTATTGATTAAAGTACCACCTTCACCTTTGCGTCATTACTTTGAATTGCAATGAATGTAGAATCCCAATTTCTTTCATTTTAGCTCTCGCCCCAAATATGTGTGCATTTGATTTTGGCTATTTTCTTGTCTAATTGCTTCCAATTAATTAGCAATAAGTCAATGATCGAATTTGTTATCTGTTCAAATGCATTCGAACGAATCGGTTTGCATTGTAAACAGTGCATAACGTAGGTAAATAGTACGGAAAATATAACCGTATTGGAGATGAAGCGTTGGGATCTATGCCAAAAATTAATTGTAATGAGTTAGAAATGATCCGAATTTTGTGTTGAACGCTTTTGTGCATTGCAACCTGTTGTACAATGTGTTTAAGCAATTTTTGTTGTTGAAAGACGCTGAAAATAAATGCGCTGTAAGCATGCATATAGGTATAAAATTCAAAAGAGTTTAGCTGTCATAATGTAAACAAATTACCCAATACAGACAACAAAAACAAAAATTAAAACGAGTACAAATGTAAAAAGTGCTTAGAATGTGTTTTTATGTTTTCTCGTGTAACAATTACTTAATATATCGTTTGTGACGTCAATTGAATGAATTCTCTGCATTTAAGAAATATAGATATATAGATATATATGTATATTGTGTCACGCATTCACACAAGAAATCGACAATAATCCCATTAGAAACCATGAGAATGCAATCAATATATGTAATTGTGTTTGGAAATTTGGCCGGTCCAATTAAATTCAATTAGACACTGACACATTTGCACATTAGACGCAATCATATACGCTGTGTGATGTGATGTGATGTGTGTACAAAAAGCACAATCCGTCCCGATTCAACGACATAGAGAAATTTAATTAATGTTTAATAGTATGCACATTCTCAAGTGTTTTTGTTATTCTTATAAATATTCTTCGCATTTATTTGACATTAACATCTCTCCCATTTGTTGTATCAGTCTGTCCCTTCCTACACTCACGCATCTCCTCCTTCTAAGTAGTGGCAGCACGTAAAACATAACACCAAATACATGCACGTAGTTCTAGATAAGCTTACGGTTTCTTAAATATGGCTGTAAAAGATTGGATTGTGCAATTATTACTCATTTGGAATAAATTGTTGACACTAACGCATAGTACGAGCAACGAGCAAAATACCAGGAGAAAGAGAAATGGAGAAAAATGTGATAGAGAGAAACAGACAAAAATGGCCAAGAGCCGAGAGAGTTTTCACTACAAACGCACTGCCGTTTCGAGTGTATTGTATGGCCGCCAATGGTGTATATATTAAAATAGATGTTCAGTAAGTTTATTTGTTTCTTCTGTTTGATTTCTGAATTTAAAGTACTAAAAACGTATGTGGTGTTGGTTGCTTTGCGTGCCCATTGTGTGTTTGAGCAGAACTAAGAACATGCATGTGAATGCATTTTTTTTTTTTTTTTTTTTTTGAATATTTAATGCAGCGAATGAAGAACCAATTCTATACATGAATTTACAGTTGCTAATTTTCTATGTCGTGTTTTTTTTTCTTTCTTTCTTCCATTGCCCATTTAATTCTTCATCACTTCAATGCTCTTCAATATTTTCTTCTTTTAAATTCTGGTTACTTTTTTTATTCTCAGGCGCAGAGTTGTTTGAAGATCTTGTTTGCCAACTTTAACTAACGGATCACAGTACGAATAACATTTTTATTATTTTTTATACAAAACATACGAAGTAGATGAAAAAAAGGCACAAAATACAACTTTGAAGAAGAAGAAAATGAAGAAGAAAAAAATGTCCGACACATTGAAGATTGAGCCGGAGTAAATATTGTTGACAATGGTTCCATACAAAATATGTATGCCATCATGCGAACGGGCGAATGCGTGAAATTTTACTGTGCCAATGAACCAACCCCAATAAATACAATGAATAGAGTTCTTTGACACAAAAGTTACAGCTTAGTCAGCTTGAAACATCGCATTTCAGCTTTCATTGTTACAATCATCTGTTTTTGTTTCAAAATTAAACAAAACCATCGGGGAATAGGAAAGTCGGTATCATCAATCATCGACTGAATAAATTGCGAATGGAACGGTTTAAAGAAGAACAGCAAATATTGTTGTTATATATGATCAAATTACAAGTGTGTCACGATCAATATAACAAATATACTAAAATATTGACTGAGCATTTACACTTTACACATTTTCGCAATAATTAATTTATGCAAATCGATATCGTTTGTGACAGCCACGCAAAAAATTTACATAAAATACATATATAACGAACCGACACTTATTCTATCTTGTTAGTATTACAGATTTGATGGTCCAATCCATTTTCACTTTATTTATTTTCGATTTCTCTTCGTGTCATTTGCGGTGTTGATATTTCATTTTAGCAATTGGCTTAGGTCTATCACTGTAAGCGATGACTCACTTGGTCATTTTTACCAGTAAAGTCCAGTCAAATGTTCGTACACATCTGCCGATCATTTGAATCATTTTATGCATTTGGTTTAAAGATCAATCATGGAAAACTATCAATTTTAAAAACCTCATTAAAAACATTTATCGCCTCAAAAATCTCAACAATTCAACTTCAAACAATTGCAACTCTCATAATAATAGAAATAAGATATCTACTCAAAACACTATACTCGACAAACAGTCTAATGTAATTTTCATTCATGAATTTTGTTTTATGTTTTCATTTTTCTCTGAAGATTTTTTTTATTACTTTTGATCGTAATCGTTGTGAATCACTTATCACTTTAGATTACATATATTTTGCAATTTTAATTTTGTCAGTGCATTTGTCCTATATAAATGACGTAAAACTGTGCAAACACAAATCCAATAATGATCGAGTAGTGGTGAGAACTAAAGTTAGTTTACAGAGTATTGTGACAAATACTGGAAACTGTTGAAGCTGTCAACGGCCAATAAAATCGGTTCATATATATGAATTGTTACAGTACAAAGATAGACAAGTGAATTGTATTTTTTTAGAAATGATTTCATGTTCATTGCAGTCAGATGAATCGTTGTCAGATATATAAAAATAAAACCAAGCATTTTGTTCTCAATCCGCACAAAATTCGCCGCTTGAATTGTGTGTGCCAAAGCATGCCCGTTATTTGTTACCTAATTTGTATACCACATTAGACAAGCGGGATTTAGTCGAAAAATTTAGTAAAACCATCAATACACACATGATTCGTGATGGATCATTGTTTTGTTTTTGCTCTGCATATGTCAATGATCAACTCTCTCTCTCTCTCTCTCTCTCTCTTTCGCATTGTATCGACGGCACTCTAATTGCATTTCATGTTTTCTAGAATTTTTCTTCGAAAGTTTTTTAGGATTAAGTTCTTTTACTAGCATACTTATTGACTTTTCTTTTTTTTTATAAGAAATAAATAGTAATTAGACAAAAGGCATTAAATACATTTACATGCATGCTTGACAAGCAGTAAAAAAAAACTCAAATTTGAAGCAACTTATTTAGACAGCGTTCAGTCTTTAAATTACGTTTAAACGAAGCCAGAGTAGCAGCATCGCATGTTCTATAAATAAATGAATGCTATCCGTTTGAAAAGACAGAATCAACTCACATTTGCAATCAACTTAATCAAAAATCAACTCAAATTGGCTTCCGTAGAGCCACCGCATCGCACATTGATGAGTTTCAGTTAAAAACGATAAAATGTTTATGAATTAATGTTTCTTTTTTCGCCATTTAACACAATATTTATGATATATCATTTCATGCACAATTTTTCGAGGTAAGCATACCAAAAGAACACGTGTTTATTCTCATAAAATTGTGCGTTGGTGTTGAAGCAGCAAATCGGCCACTAGTTGGATTTGTTTTATTTTATGCCTTTAAAAAAGTGTTTTTTTCTGTCAAATAATATCTATTTTTTAGAATCGTTTATAATATTTGAATGAATTGAAATGTACATATAGTATTCAAAAAATGGAAATTGAAAAGTGTATGATATCCTTTATCTTGACTAGCGTTATTTGCAATGAATGTGCTTAGTTCGGAAGAAAAAGTCATTAGGCAACTTTTCAGTCAACTTACCCATTACAGAAATGTTGTTCAGGTGCAAAATCCACTACACATTTCTGGCGACCAATTTGTACAAACGTTACTAGTGGTAATGCATCACTTACTATTAATTCGATCCAACAATAATCTTTGTCGAACAGAGAACAATCCATAAAATGTACAAATTCACCATTATTATTGAAACAAAATGTGTATTTTTTTCTCGTTACTACAACTTCGGTAAAGGTGACAAATTATCCTCTTTTTCCAAGATTTTATTCATGCCATAAGCATTTTGCTATAAACGACCTAAAATCATGACAAATACAAAACGCTTGTTTTTTATTTTCATTTTTGTTTTGTATGCATAAACCATATAGGTACCGAGCACCATGCATATCCAAATATACAAATATTATTTGTAAACAAATCCGAAAGTTGGTTTGTGTGTGTGCTGGTAGTAAGCAGTACGTATTGATGACACCTTATGATAAGCACATGCTGCTTCTTCTTTTCTTTACCATTTTATACACAATCATATCAGCATACAAATACTTAAAATGCAAAACCATTTAGGTTGTGTATGGAAAAAGAAAGAAAAAAAGAATCGAGCGCCTAACATCGAAAAGAATGGAAAGAAATGGTCATCAGATGTCAATGGAATGCAAAATGAGCGAAGAGAGAATAACAAGCAACGAAAAACCATAGGTGCGTTCTGTGTTAAAAGCTTAATCGCATGAAATATACTTGGTAAAGAGAGAAAGGAACTGCTTGGTAAAAACACTGATATAAAGAAAACTACTTTCAACATTAATACGCACAACAATTCTAGCAACTATTATAATGCATTAAAAGCAACAAAAATGCACTATTTTCAACATAAACAACAACATTTGACTAAAAACAAAAAAAAATGTTTAAATTTTCAGCTTAAATCATACACATTTCTTTGATAATTCTCTTAACATGCATAAAATTTTGGTTAAACTTGCGCATGTAAATTTAAGATCTCATTCATGCAAAAAGAAATGAATTTATGACTTTCTTAAAAATTACAGAGAACTCTTTGGAATTCCGTTTTATTGTGACATTTCATAGAGAGGCATAATAATGAAAATGCCATTGAGATTTGATCGCTAAACAACATACGAAAGAAAAAAACATGTCTGTCAACTTACATTTGTGAATTGTGTCGCTATTTTCTGATGTTCTTCTTGATAATTTTTACGTGTCTTGCGCTTATCTTGGTACAAATGTGTTAGCTTATCTTGGCACAGCGATTCTAAGAATTCGGCATTCGACTTGAATTGCTTTGCAGTTTGCTCCCATTCTTCCATAAACGAACGCCATACTTTCATGATTTGACTTCCTGTAAATATTCCAAGAGAAAGAGGAAAACAGCAAAATACTGGCATTATGATTGCGGTATGATTTAAGTGGAGGAAACTAACTAATATTTAATTATATTTGAAACATTATTGTTTACAGTGTGAAATGTGTCGATTGAGATAATTGGTTTTTGATGAAACTGAAAGGATGCATCGATATCTGATTGCATACACGATTAAATCGCACGCTACATTACCAAACGAGCGTTTGCATTACTGTACAGTGAATTGGTTGGTGTAAAACTTACCTTGCAAGTCGTCAGCACGATCAATTTTAAGACCAAGTTGAGCGGCTGCCGTCAAAGCGATTGCATATTCTTTATCACATTTAACTTTTTGTAATAAACATCGTTTCATTATTTCGAGTAATCGTAGTTCGGCATCTTGTCGCGAAAGCAATGCATCATGCGCTGATTTACCTTGCAGCGCCGATGAAAAACCCATTTTATTTTGGCAAAAGAAATAGCCTGTATTTTTTTTTTTCGTAGTGTCTCAACGGCAACGATGTTGCCTGCACTTAAATATGTTTGCGGTTTTCTGCCCTTCACCAGAATCTGTGAATCTGTTTTCGTGCTGCGGTTTTCTCTCTTTTTTCGCCACGTTCACACTGCAATGTTCATGCAGTTCAAGACGACACTGCCTTTTTGATACGATTCAATTTAATTTTCGACAGACTTTGTTTATATTCCATGAAAAACTGATTTTGGAAATTCACTAGTTTCAACCTTATCCATCATATTGAAAACAGGCAACTTTTTTCTGTTCATTCGTTTCAAAACTATCGCATTCGTTGCACTTATACTTTTATTCGCTTCGTTTTGTTTCGTGATTCGATTTTGTGAATTTCGCATCGATCTAATCCGTATTTCGACACAAAAAAAAAATGAAAATAATCAAAATAATATTCGGATCTACATCACATTGGCAAATGAAATGAAGAAAAAACCAAATGATTTTTCTCACTTCGTTTGGTTGGAAAGGATATTCACAATATATTGGATATAAATTCAATTCAATTCAATATTATAATTGTTCATTATCTCTCTGTCAAACGTTAATAATATCGACACACCGACGATTGCGGCCACGTCAAAGAATCTAAACGATCTCTAAATGTATAAAATGAGTCACTGAGAAACTGTACCATATTTATTATGTAACACCTAAGCTGATCTTGTGAACTGTTCATCTGTCGATGCAAAGCACTCTTTCGTTCTCCAACTAAAAGCGAATATTGTGTATAAAACAAAGAAAGTGTCATGCACGCAACAAGGGACAGTGAAATACAGTGCGCGCAACAGCTACTGAGGTTATGAGTTATGATGGTCCGACATTAACAGTGATTAAATATGACTTAACATTTTAAACGGACGCGCAGTGCATTGCGAACACAAAGAGAGAGAAGAATAAAAATGTTATGGTATAATACATGTTTAGCATGTCTCGTTTATCGAGAGCGACGAGAAACGAATGCATACGCAACGTATAAATGGATCGCAATATAAAGAAGACGGCAAAGTTTATGTTGACAATGGCAAAGACAAAGACAGCACGAAACCATCAACTATTTAATACTGTTTTCTTGGAATCGATTGATTCCCTTTTTTTGTCTTCTCTCCTCCTTTCGTGTTCTTTTCGCCCATGCAACATAACGAGTTTTATCGCAGTATAATGAAGAACGAAACCAAACGCAAATATTACATAAAAACCTGTGATTTGCAAAAGCGCAGTTTGCCGTATATGCTAATAATTTAGTTTGAAAAGTTTATATTACAACATCCTTCCATTTCGCTGCGATGCCAGTTCAATTTCTACCGACTGTTTTTTTTCCTGATATGTCATAAGGACGCAAAGAGCCAAACATGTAGACCGTATAGAATAAACACTACCAAAACATACAACAAAATAAGGTTTATAGGATCGGACTGCAAACTTTATATATACAAACTTTGTCATATTCTTTCTATCTCGGGTGCGATATGGATGAGAAAAAAAATCGTTTTTTCGCCAATCGACTTTCAATTGACAGTTTATGATTTCAGAGTTTTGAAGATCAACTTTTCTGTAAAGTCAAAATATATGTTGTAATAAAGCAGTACATTTGCAACTATAATTAGATCAAAGCGCACACCTAGAACTCTACTTCAATTAGTTATTTCAAAGGCTTCGATGTTCAAATTGCTAATCAAAGAATGATTTACATCACAACGGTAATGATTTCTTCTTTTTTTTCATTCATTTGATTGCATGCATGTAAATATAAATCGATGTTTCAGATATTAAAACTGTTTTCTCTCTCTCTTCCTCTCTCTCGCGCTTTACATCAACAAAAGAAAATGGATTGGCTAAATACTCGAACCATATCTAGAACACAATTCATGGCCAAGTTGAAAGAATGCATCAATACATGTAATTTATGGAGCGCTGCAGATGCATTGTGCTTAATGATTAAATTGCAGCTAGTTTTTGATTTTGATTGAAGATGGATCTATAGCTTTATTAAAGGCGTTGTTAAAAACTTAAACAATTGGTATAGTGAAAAGAAAGCAAAACAAGAGAAACCAATTGAGTTTGCTGCCACTTCAATTAATGCAAACCAAAAAGTGCGTACATATCCATACATGAAGAGACTGAAGAGAAACAAATATGTGATTTAAATTACGGCATTGGCGAAAAAAAAAACCGACCGACTCATTTCTTTTTTTATTATTATTTGTTAGCTTTGATTTTCATGTTGATTTCGTTTTAATTCATTCATCATTTGAATAAAAACTTTCATTTATTACAAGCACAAAAACAAAACGCCATTATTTGTATGCATTCAGATTAAAAAAAAAAAAGAGGTATTAAAATATCGTGCGGTTTTAGTGTTGTGAGTCTTACGAATCAATATAATTTTATATTACAGAGAGAACAGAGAGCGGGCCCCAGACACCACCAACACTATCGTGCGCGTACTACAACACAATTTCGTGTGTGAAGTGAAAGAATGAATTGTACATATGGAACGAACCAAAGTTAACTGAACGGTGAAAAAAAAAAACACACAACAAAGGCGAGAAGAGCAAAGAAGAAATGAAACGAAACAATAAACTTATAAAATTTCAACAATAAACTTGTTTTGTTGTGTTACAATGCACACATAAGTCAAATGTGTGTAATGCTTCGGAGTGCTGAACGACTTACACATGCGCATGATGCGCACATAAAGACTGCAAACAAACACCAAACAACCGAAAACTGTATGCACAGAATCCAGCAAAGAACGCTTCACATGAACCCATTCTAATACATCTATTTAACTCTTTTTTATCTTTCATCCACAAAATGTTCTCCGCATCATTTCAATATGAATATTTAGTTTAGATTTAACGGAGAAAACATGATAGAGAGAGAGAGAGAGTTTGTGTCTGTATGTGTGCGTGAGAGAGAAACTATCCTTTATTCTTTATTTTCATTATTAATTTCTATCCATCGTTTCATTTTGATTCGGTTCGGATTGGATTCTGTAAGTCATCGTCATATCATCACATTTTTGTTGTTGTTTTTCTTTAATTTAAGGATATGGTTGTATGATGCATACCGCACGTTGTGCACTTGGAAAAATATAGAAAAAACCGAAAACATATCTCGATATGAAATTCGAAAATTAACCAAATCAAAATTGTGGATAATAACAAAGAAAAACGATTTTTTATTGGTTCGATGTTAATAACGGTGCGACTAGAAAATGCGCCTACGAAAACATGACTAGATCGTTTGCGTTTTGAAACTCTTCTATTATATGTCTATATCTATGAATAATTGAGAGCAATGTGGAGTATCCACTTTAAAATACCTTCCACAGACAATTTTACCTTTTCATACTTGGGCTCACACTGAAAAAAATGTGTGATGTTGTTGAAACCTTTAAAAATGTATAATTTGTGGAAATAATCGGACTCTTTAATTTCGTTTTTGTTATCAAAATCGTTAGTTTGTTATGACAAAATGATTGGAATTTAAAACATTGAGCAACACTTAATCGACGATCGTCAATAAATTGATCGTCGATATTACCACAATTGATGAAAATGGATAATTTTTCTGTATGTTGTTTAATTTTGAAAGATTTTTTTTTCTTACAAATGTCACTAGATAGAAGATGACCTTTTCTTTAAAATTGAGATAAAAATTCGTATATAATTACATCACATATAAAATGCAAAATAATTGAGTACATTTGCGAATCACAATAAGATAGCGCTCCGTCAGTTGTAAGGCACAAAATTAAATTAATAATCATTAAGAATAACATGCAGAAGTGTCTGTTATTGTTCAATGCGTATAATATTTGTGCACTTGTTTGGTTTGCTTTTTGTTTGCTTTCTTCGGATCTTTTTTCTGTTATATTTTTTTTTCCCTCTTTTCGGAAGAACCATGTGATTGGTGTTTGAATTTTGAATTTATATCGCTACATATTTGTCAATTCGATTGTAATTGATGGCGATGTTTCATCGGCTGAAGTTGAACGCACCATCATATCACATTGACAATTGTTTGGCTTGTTAAAATAAACATTGATTCTGATTTATTTTTAGATACAATGTAGCCCAAATGGCAAATAATAAATGTTGAAGATTTGAATTTATTTCCAATATAATTGCGAGTCCTTTACATTTAACTAAAGAAATAACTATACACATTTCAAATACACACCAAAATAAACTAGATGTACACGTTTCACAACAAATAAATATACACGTCCGATTGCGACGACCATCAACACTCGATTCAATAAGATACGAGCAAAAAGAGAGCGCACACAGCCAAAACAAAATGCTGCAGCGCGCACTAAAATAACAACACAGAACACACACCGATCGTACCGATGAAACGATAGTGTAGTGTTGTGTACTATGTCTATATATTTTTGAGCAGTTAATGTGCGCGAACAACTTGAAATGAACGAAGAAGAGACCACAAAACGCAAACACTCAAACATTCATCACACCGAGAAGCTAAGACGAATTGTGTGTATGCGTAACGTGCATAAAGCTCCGTAGCACCGTACACACCAACCAACACATCACACCGTTCATGTGAAAGACAGTGAAGACAGTTTTTCACACCGGAATTTAAGTGGACAAACGATGAACATTTTGGTCGAGTTGTTTTGCATTTTTGGTTACACACTCAGAACTGAACGCCGAATGATACTAAACGGTTTAATTATTATTAGAGATCGTATTTCAAATGATTTAATAAGAAATTAACATTAGCATTGATGTTATATGTTATATTTGTTATGCAGCATCAAATAAATTCATTCTTTATTCGTTCGATTTCTGATATAGCATATGCTCATACTATTTCCCGTAAAATCATTTTGCATTTGATTTAGTCAAATTGAGAAAGCGACAAATCTCAAAAATATCGAAAGCAACAAAATTCGAAAACAAAACACCTAAATACACACATATATATAAATATGGAACATGCATGTATACAAACCATTCAGTTTTTATCTATTTTCGTTTAGTATCTGTTCGGCATAGTGCAGCCATATGTATAGTTGTTACAAAACAGTTGCAAGCACAGTGTGTGCACGGACGATTTTATGGCCGCAAGAAATTGTGTATTTAAAATAGATTGATTGTAAATGGAATGTGTTATTTGTACATTTTTCATCAAGTTTCACGTTTTATTGGGCGTTTCGTTAGCTTATCTAAAATTCTGAACGGTATGTAGTTGTTTAAACACTAAACAAATACATACCATTCCATATTTATCTTAATCTTTTTCATCAATGAAAAATGCATCATTGTCATATGTTTCATTGTTCAGATTTGAAAACGAACAAATAAGGCAAAGCATATATAATAATTCTAATTGTAAATGATAATAGCAACCACCTTTGAAAATTTAGATTTTTTGCATTAAAAAATAAGTTGAAGTCAAACATCTCTTTGCTACACTTTTTTCAAAATTGAGCATTTAGTGGAGACTCTTTTTTTGTTTTATTGATTAAGCTTTGAATTTAAAGTTTTTAAGATGAAGAGGCTGGCAATTGGAGGGTTTCGCCATGAATTTCTTGTTCAAACATCCACTGTGTATTTTACTCACCCGTCTATCTGCCTGTTTTTCTAGTTGGCCACATTTAAAACTACATTTAACGTACAAAATGTCTGGGAAGAATATTTAGATAAGGCTTTTGTATGAAACTAGCTCCAAACTTGCTTGTTGTATCGCAAGAACCAGCTTCATAATCAATAAGTGAATTTGATCCGATAAGAGGATTTGGAGTCCACGTTACGTTTTTGGACTATATATTTGGATACATACTTTTTGCAAGTTCTTTTGCATATTATAGCATTGAAAATTGTCAATAAACACCTGATGAAAAAGTTTCCCTTTTACTTTCTTAATAAAACAACACCGATTTTATAGGGATGTGTTTATTTTTCAATTTTGTATATTTTGACCGTTAAAAAAAAACAAAGATATATGTTTATATTGCTATGCAAATTGAATGTTTTTTTCTTTATTTATTTTTGTTGCTTCGAGTCAAGAAGGAATATCATCATGTTGTGAAATAATTTATAGTTTGTGTGGTTCAATGAATTTGAAAAAAGTAATCAGCATATTTGATGTGTGTGTGTGTGTGTATGTTTCTTTCTCGGTGAGTTTGCTTAGGATTTATCTAAGCGGCAAATTGGATTGTTTTGAACGATTCTCAAATCGATTTTTGGTCCAATAAGATCTCGAATATTATTATAGCCATATTTAATCATTGTTGGCCGTTCTAATGACAATCCCCATGCAATCACATTCACTTCTTCTGGCAAACCCATGGGCCGCAGCATTTCAGGTCGGAACATTCCCGAGTTGCCCACCTAAAATGAAATTAACATTTTGATTATCGATTTATTTATTGGCAAACATTTAATTTCAAAAAATAAACATTTCTTTTATACCTCGATCCATTTTTTCAATCCGGGATGGAAGCAGAAGATTTCCATGCTTGGTTCAGTATATGGATTGTATGCTGGCTTGAATTCGATTTGATCGATTCCTAATTTTTTAAAGAATTCAGCAATAACGCCAATAAGATCTCCTAATGTTAAATTGCGATCAGCGACAACCCCTTCCACTTGATGAAATTCAGCTAAATGCGTAGCATCCAGTGTTTCATTTCGGAATACTCGATCAATTGAAAAGTATTTGACTGGTACAAAACCACCTTCCTGATTTGCCAATTTATACAACATTCGGGCACTCACTGCTGTTGTATGTGTTCGCAATAAGTTCTTTTGTGCTTCCTCAAGTTTCCAATCATACCTGAAAATGCATTCGTTCGTCAGAAAAAAAATATGAAAATATACGAATTGAAAGAGAAATGTATGTCAACTAACTTGTATCCCTGAGATCCAAAGCCCCCTTTCGAATGAACATCTTTAACGCGATTGAGATAATTTTCTGGGAACTTATGACTTTTATTCGGTGTTGTCAAAAAGAATGTGTCATGTGCATCTCGAGCCGGATGTTGTTGTGGTTGAAAAAGTGCGTCAAAATTCCAGAAAGACGATTCAACAAAATTGTTCGTTGGCATTTCAGCAAAACCCATTTCCAAAAAAATGTTCCGGAATTCCGTTCGAACTTTTAGCAATGGATGCAAGTAACCGGCATCTGGAACTGTACCCAAAGCATCCAAATTATACGGCTTGAATTTCAATGTATTCCATAAGCCGGAAGCGAGCATATCGGTTGTCAAATCGGCCTCCAATTTTTGCAACGATGTTGTGAACTCTTTTCCTTTCGAAATGATAAAACTTTTGACGGTAATTTCTTGCAACAATTTTCTCTTGCGGTAATCGGCACGAACGGCATCAGTAAGACTTTCAGCTTGACCGGCTTCTACTTTCTGAAGATTTTCTTGCACCGTATCCGTAATTGATTCAACTTTTCGTTTCACAATCGGCTTACCGCCCGATTTATCAACCAATATCCAGCCTTGAGCCATCGCCTTGCTAAATCCCACTTTAGCATTTGGTGAAATCTTCAATGAATCATGACAATTTTAAATGTCGATTACACAAAAATTGGCTGATGCAAACATCACACCAAGATGAAACATCTTAGATGATGCAATAATTACACCAAGATAACACATCTTAAATGATAAAATCATTACACCAAGATCATGTAATTTACCTTCATTAAATCGGGTTGGGCGATTCCCTCACTTGGAACAGCATTGAAAACGACCGCTTCATGACTTCCATTGGCGAGTACATCTTTTCCTTCATCACTTAATCCCCAGCTTTTGTGTGAATTTTGTTCAGTCCTCAATAATTCTCCATTGGCTTCAATACTTTTCAGTGCACCGATGATCTTTTGATGGTCAACACCAAAAACTGGTACCAAATCCAGTGTATCGACTTGACCATTTTCATCGACATATTTTAAAATTTGTTCCGTTAATTCAAGTTGCATTTTAAAAGTATTAAATTTCTACAGAGCTATTGAAAATTGGAAAAAACTAAAGAACACGTAAACAACACGTTGTTTGTACACGAAAAGGAACGGCAGAACTGACAATACCACTGACGTTTAACAGCATATTTGCAAGATGAATGTCAAGTGGAGAGCGCCATTTTGAATTTTCCAATATTCCAGTGTGGTTCGTGCACAACTTCCAATTTACACATTTTTAAAATTATTTCTTCACACCTTTAGTTTGGACAACTTAAATGTAGTTACTAATTACATTTTCATATTTTTTTTAAATTCAAAAATGAGATAATTTAATTTTCAGAATGATACACATTTAAAATGGTCTACCATTAACTATATATACATATAAAGCTAAAACTGAAATTAAAATTGTCCATATAATTGTGTTGTTTTTTTTTTCGCTCTAGTCTTCGGACGTGTTTTGAAGCTCATTAGAAGAATTAACATACCTAATGATTATTTCGAATAATTTTCTGTATTTTATATGAATTGAAGTTAAGCAAAGTAAATGAGTTGTACGTCAAATGCCATCTTGTGGAGTGTTTTTGAGTATGTGATTTGCAAAATCATCGAAATGAAGAAAAAACGATGAAAAATATCTACATTTTAAATTTAAAAAAAAATCCATTACAAACTAAATGTGTTGAATTCATATAAATTGAACCAACATTTCGCACAAATTCATTCAAGTTAAATCAAATTAATGTGTGCCTAACGTCTTCAGTGGTTTCAAAATAGAAATGTTCATTTGTCATATTATCCCATTTTGGTTGGAATGAAAACTGACGTGTTGAGTGAATCGATTTAGCATTTTATCAGAAGCAACCGTCAGTGTCTGCTTCCGCTATAATAACATAGCTCAGTTCAGTTTTTATTGTCATGTGGCCTGTGTTCGATTTTTTGAGCATTTAACTATTTATTTTATTCCAGTTTTCTTTCAAAAAAACTGACTAAATTTTCTATTATTTTTCGTTCTTCATTTTTTCAATTCCATTTTTTTGATTGCTTAGTAACTAAACATATTTGACAAAGCAACAATATCGTGCTAAAACTACAAATGTCTTACATTTAATTACACCACAGTAATAAAAGGAATCGAATTTAATAAAAAAAAAGTGACAAGAAATTTGAACTCCGTGAACTTTTTTTCAACACAACAAAAATTAAAATAAAATGTCATCATCGCATTGGGAGGAATTTTACGCAAACCATTTGCCACCGGCAGATTTTGAAGATAATCGGTCACTGCTGAAGGAATTTTGTGAGCGACATAATGAAGATCAGAATTCAATTGTCCTTGTCACGGTATGTACGAATTATGGATTTCATTTAACTCATACCCAAATTTCTAATCATTACCATTGGCATGGTATTGATTTTGAGTTCATGAAAAGTGCTTAGACCTTCGCGTTGACTAATAATATCTTAATGGATGTAATCGGTAATTAAGTTGTTATCATATAAAACGTCATATGTATTCCAATTTCTTTAGCTTCACATTTAACATGTGTATATTATATAAATGTCATATAATTTCGAAGTTGATAACAGAAAGTGTCATTAGAGGACGTTATTAAATATTAAATTCTCTCTATTTTTTGGATAAAGTTAGAAACATACGTATGCCCCAGTAAAGAATTAGAACTTAATTTATGCATAGTCTGACATGAATAGAATACATAATTTAATTTGGTCAGTGGATTTTGATTTTGTGTTTTTTTTTTGCTTTTGTTAGTCTGGCGGTACGACGGTGCCTTTGGAGCATAATACGGTTCGATTTGTAGATAATTTTAGTGCTGGTACTCGGGGCTCTGCATCAACCGAATATTTTCTGGATCATGGATATGCTGTGATTTTTATGCATCGGCTTAAATCAATGGAACCATTTACACGACATTTTACTGGTCAACAATTTTTTGATATGCTCGACGTTGCAGAAACCATGGAAAATGGAGAAAGCGGCACACCGTCAATATTTGGTATAATTACCATCATTACTTACACTTTTTTGTTCTTTTTTTTTTAAATGTTCCTATTTTTAATGCAATATACCAATTTTATTCCATTCCATCAACTGTACAGTGAAACCGGATTCGGTAGATGTGTTGGCACCAATATTGGCCAAGTACAAGATAGCACAGGAAGCAAACAAAATATTGTATATAAACTTTACAAGTGTGGTTGACTATATGTGGTTATTGCGTGCTGCATGTGAATGTTTGGCTGCCTTTGATAAACGTGCTCTTCTTTATTTGGCGGCTGCTGTATCCGACTTTTACATTCCTTCCGATAAAATGGTATTGTTCTTGTTCAATCAAAAAAACTGATATGCATTTTCCGTGTTTGTTCTAATTTCCATTTCTAATGATACACATCCCATTTAGCCAACGCACAAAATGCAATCAGGTCATGGAGCACCAACGATTTCCCTACAGCTTGTGCCAAAAATGTTGGCACCATTGGTCAGTCTATGGGTTCCAGACGCATTTGTGGTTTCATTCAAGTTAGAAACAGATGAAAATCTGTTGATCGTCAAATCGCGTGATAGTCTGAACAAGTACAAACACAAGGTATATACTTAATCGTATTCAACTTTGATAATGTAACATAATGTATCTAACATCCCTTATATATTTATAACTATATATTTTAATGTAACTTTTTAATTTTCATATGCAGCTTGTGATTGCAAATATGCTGCAAACGAGAAAGAGCCGTGTAATATTTGTGACACCAACAACTTCATATGAAATAAATCTGACAAAAGACCAATTGTTAGCTGGAATGGAGATTGAAGAGCACATAGTAGCGGATGTGGCATGTTTTCGTTTTTTTATGTTCATATTTTTATTTCGTTCACCATTGAACATTGCAATAACGCTAATCTGCTTTTCTATTCTTTATCATAGGTGCAATGTCATGAAGACTTCATGGCCGCAATACCTTTGCAATGACCTGTTGTTCGTCGAAGAAAACCATTGCGAGTTGATTGCAAAGTGACGATGCCACATTTTTGTCGATTACTTAATCCGGGTGGAGCTGGTCTTAAAAGAAAATTCTAAATATAAGACGTTTCAAAATTAAGACTTTATGTGTGTACGTGTGTGACTTCCATACAGAAGTGAGACATGAATGTAGAAAATTATTTATTTTGTGGGGTATTTTTTTGTATGAGAAAAATCAATGAAAATTGTTTTTGTTCTTAAACACACGGCACAGATTGATGATTCAAATGTTCGTTGAAATTGACAAGAAGTAGTTTTTTTGAATTCATGTACACAAATCTTGCATCTTTTGTAAAACAAACATGGTTTAGGCATTTTATTTGACTAATTTTCATCAATTGGGGAAATTGTTTGAAGATTTTTTTTGATCTACAAAATTGTGCTCTTCATAGATTTTTAATTCTATAAGACGCAAACAAACATAATAATATTATTTATTTTATTTTTGTTTTTAGTTTTTTAGTTTTTACATTTATTTATATGGTTTACAAAATGGTTTTGTACATATATTTATGTGACTTAATAAATTATTAAATAGAATATATCAATGGACTCATTATCAAAACATATATAATTGACAGATTATAATAAATTATTTATTTTAGAGCAAAAATATAAGACCCACAAAATATTCCAGTAGTATTGAAATACTATTAAAATTAAGCATGATTCAGTTGTGTGCCTCCTTTATACCAATATTAGATGAAACATTAAAAAGAGAAAAAAAAACAAACAAACAAACAAATATTCAAGTTAGTGGAACAAAAAACAGCTTCAAATAAACGTGAAGGAAAATTTAGCTATTAGAACCAATGAATTTTGAAAGTATTGAGGTGTCATTTTCTGCCCTACCAATCTTTGAAATATTATTAATCATAATATTTTTGTACAATTGTAATCCGAATTATGCCTTCTTCAATTTTCGTTAAAACTATTGGTTAAATGGAGAATATCACATACTATTTTTATACACATTTAGCTCGATATTTCTTTATTCTGATTTTCTCGATCATTCAATGGGCCAATTTCAATTTGGTATGGAAATTCGCCCGATTAAAATTAAATTAAAAATAAACACATATCGAATGCGAACAAAATTTATTCAACAAAAACTAATAAGATTAATGCTAAACTAAATTGATTAAATGAATCTATCTTATTAAATGTTTTAGGGTCCCCTTTTCAATCTCTGCTCATTATATTTATGCTATTGCTTCGAACAAAAAATAACAACAAAAGATTTAACTACAGGGTTTTTTAATCTTAGACTTTTCGAATGCATTTTTATTTGATGAAACTTTTTAAACTAAAAAACTCCATGTGGATTTGAATGTGTAGTTATTAGATATAAAGTCCTTCAATGTCCTGAATCTAGAGAATACAGTCAAAAGATCAAATATACTTGCATAGAAAAGCAATTTCAGTATCAATTTGGTGTGTGGAATTTTTCAAACAAAAGATGCATTAAAAAAATTGATTAATTTAAATTAGTATTACAAAATTATCATACACCATAATCTCAGATATTTATTGTTAATGTTGTTATGAGCAAGATTTTTGTTCGCACAGAATGAGCACGTATGAAAAATGCTAGGAAAAATGCATCCACATTGACACTATTACGATATGTCTACTCTTTATGCTTTGCTCAAAAAGAAAACAGCAAAAAGATGTGAATATTTCCATTTTCATGCCATTACACATTAAAACGGGTTTAAATAAATAAAACTATAACATCAAGTGGGAATAATTAGTTTTCCAAAATTAATTTTGATCGAATGCTCCACATTTTTGGAACATTTTTATTAATTTGATTTTCTTTAAATGTTAATAAGCACTAAATGTCTATATTGATGTGTTGATAAGGAATTATATAGAGACCAAATTATCACATTTGTATGAAAATTGAGATGAATAAAAGTCATTTTTCACTCAAAAAATTGCTGATTTTTTTTTAGAGAAATTCAATAAAATTAAAACATAAAACAGCGATGTACTTGTATAAAGGCCAATGCGACTCAATTTATTTGGCACAGCCGCACATAGAAGATTTTACGATAAAATGTGGATTAACATAATGGCAACGAGCATACATTAAGACGAGTAACAGCGAGTCAGCGACATAGGTGTAGTCATTGCGTAGATTTTCTTCATGTATCGTCGTTTGCTGTGCTCGTTCCGATTATTTTGAATATACTTACTTATAATTGAAATGAAAATGAAAATGTTTTCAGTTCAATGATGGGCTTTTATGGTCAATTTTTACCATAAAGATTCTCTAGACAGTTGTTCAAACAGCAACTGTCTCTTCACAATGCGAACGATTCATCCGGTTATTCTCCACAAAATCATTTCTAAAGATGGCGCTGTCTGTACACTTGGTCAATTGAAGTGTCAAAATAATAATTACTGTGTTTGTCATCAAAGCAACAGCACGACTCTTTTTAGTTTTTTGTTTTCCTCTTGAATTTATCGCAACTGGTAGTTAAACATTGAACACATATCCAATTTCAACTACATTCGAGTGTTTCATATTAAAATTAAGTGTTATTTATTCCATTTGAAACATTAGACATAAACAACAAAAATGGCACACTACAAAGGAGCCGCAAGTGAGGCTGGTCGAGCCATGCAGCTCATGAAAAAGAGAGAAATCGCCCAGCAGGAAATTGAATTTCGTAAAAAGAAGATCGAAGAAGAGCTCAAAATAAACAATATTGAGAGTAAGTTTGCGACCCATTACGATGCCGTCGAACAACAGCTCAAAACATCAACCATTGGTTTGGTTACTTTGGATGAAATGAAAGCAAAGCAAGAGGATATTGTTCGAGAACGAGAAAGAAAATTAGCCCAGAAAAAAGCCGAAAAAGATCGAGAAAAGTTGCGTGCTCTAGAAGAAAAACAAGCTGAAAAGAATAAACAACGCAAACAAATTCAAGCATTGTCATTCAATTTGGATGAGGACGAAGATGAAAATGACGATGACGACGAAGATGGTGATGAGGAATCGAACGACAGCAGCAGCCAATCGAGTTCCAAAAAATCAAGCTCCTGGGCAACAGCTGATGAGCCAAGCGAAGCACCAGCCTTTAAAAAATTACGCAAAAATCCTGATGTGGATACATCATTTTTACCAGATCGTGAACGCGAAGAAGGTGAAAATCGCTTGCGCGAAGAACTGCGACAAGAATGGGTTGCACAACAAGCGTCATTAAAAGATCAAGAGATACCAATTACATTCAGTTATTGGGATGGATCGGGTCATCGACGATCAGTTACCATGAAAAAGGGCCATTCAATCTATCAATTTTTACAAAAGTGTTTGGAAACGCTTCGCAAGGAGTTTAGCGAATTGAAAACGGTTATGGCCGATCAACTAATGTATGTGAAGGAAGATTTGATATTACCACATCATTACTCATTTTACGATTTCATTGTGACCAAAGCGCGTGGTAAATCGGGACCATTGTTTCAATTTGATGTGCACGATGACATTCGTATGATCAGCGATGCTACCGTTGAAAAAGAGGAATCACATGCAGGAAAGGTACTACTACGATCATGGTATGAACGGAACAAGCATATATTCCCGGCCAGTCGTTGGGAACCATACGATCCAGCCAAAACTTATGATAAATATACAATTAAGGATAAAAGCAAAAAGTAATTAAGAACATGCGATGGCATTTTTCTTTAATTAGGCATAAATGGCAAATAAAATACTGTATAAAATATAATGGAAAAATAACGTTGTGTTTATTTATTTTTGCAACTGGCATCCTTTGAAAGGCATTATTTAAATTAATATGTTCTATGAAAATGCATTCAGCAATACACACACAAGTCGATGACTTGTCTATTTAACGTGACCGCCTTCTTTCAGTTTGGCGATAAGAGTATCGACATCAGGAACAACACTTCCAGCTTGGCGAACTGGTGGCTCTTCGACGGATAAAATCTCAATACGTGGAGAAGTGTCGACTCCCAATTCTGATGGTGTTACCTTTTTAATTGGCTTCTTCTTGGCTTTCTATACACAAACACACACACACAAAGAGAGAGAGAAAGACATTGTAATTGTTATCTAATATGAGCGGTATTCTGTGTTTCGTACCATAATATTTGGTAAAGTAGCATAGCGTGGTGTATTCAAGCGTAAATCGGCGCTCAAAACAGCCGGTGCTTTTAGGGCCAATGCTTCTAATCCGCCGTCAATTTCACGTTCGATTTTGTAACCTTCGCCGACTTTTTCAATCTTTGAGCAGAATGTACCTTGTGGCCAGTCCAAGTAGGCAGCTGTCATTTGAGCTGTTTGATTGGCATCATCATCAATTGCTTGTTTACCAACAACAATCAAATCGATTTTCTCGTCTTGTGCTAATTTTGCCAAAATTTTCGATACATGTATTGGCTGTAGAAGTTCGGCCTCTTTGGCTGGCACTTCAACGTGAATACCACGATCGGCACCCATGGCCAATGCCGTACGAATAACCTCTTGCGATTGTGTTGGACCAACTGATACAGCAATTATCTCTTTTGCAATTGATTTTTCCTTCAATTTAACGGCTTCTTCAACAGCGATTTCATCGAATGGATTCATTGAGTGTTTAACACCCTCTGTTACGACGCCACTCTTATCGGGTTTGACACGAATCTATTGGCAAACACAATAATTCATTTTTATTACTGAACATATTTCTTATTGCTAAGTTTTATCTTTATTCCAAATTTTCTTATTCAACTGTTAGAATCGTAAAAAAAAAAATACTATGAACTAGTAATGTAGCAAAAAAAATGTGTATAAAGTTCACAATGAAATCAAGATAGAAACAATGATAAATACCTTGACCGCATAATCAATAACGCGCTTTACACCAACTAAAACACGAACCATTTTTTTCTATTCAATTCGAATTCTATCTGAAATTCAATTTTTCCATTACTTTCATTTGTTTCAAATGTTATTTGATATTTTTCCGAATTACCTTTTCTAAAATACAATACCGTTGATTTGCGATCAAAAGTCCAAATTCCAAATGAAGAAAATCACTTCAATTCGATCATAGATTGTAATTTGACATAAATACGATGAGTGTTGAAAAATTGGAGAGTTTTATGCCGTCTGTCATGCACTAAACATATATTTGAATATATTCATACACATTCTCACTCACTCACTCACCAATTCACTCACACAACAAACGGCCAATTGAACAATTCTGCCTTTTATTGTATTTGCTTATCGTTGTGTTTTAGGTAGGTGATAGGTAAACATATATATAAAAACTGATGGTTATCTAGTTTATTTAAATACACCTATCACAATCACTGCATTCCACAATTTAAATGTTGGTCTCAGATAAGACACACGAGCCCAGTGAAATCTAACTCTTTTATTTTCTCTCTTGCATAAATTGTTGAATTCGAAAAAAAAGTGCAAAATGTCGCCGGTACCATTACCTATGCGAATAATGGCTAGTTCCATTGCCATTGCAAATCAAGCTGGAAAAATAATACGTGACATTATGAGTGCTGGTGATCTTGGAATTGTTGAAAAAGTAATGCAAATAGCTTTCTAATGTGATTTTTATGTTATCATTGTTGAGATGCTTTCTATTTGCGTTTTACTTTTAAATAAATCCAATTGGTTTTTTACAGGGCAAAGATGATTTACAAACACAAGCCGATCGATCAGCTCAACAATGTATTGTCGCTTCGTTGTCAAACCAATTTCCAAACGTTAAAATAATTGGCGAAGAAGGCGCATCTGATTTGGTAAATGTGCCAAAAGAATGGATTATCACCGAGTTGGATCAGGATTTTTTACAACAAAAATGTCCCGAATCCCTGTCAGATATCAGCGAAAAAGATTTAGTTATTTGGGTTGATCCGCTCGACGGAACATCCGAGTATACACAAGGTATTCTCGAACCAGTCACTGTGTTAATTGGATTTTCGGTACAGAATAAAGCGGTTGGAGGTGTCATTCATCAGCCGTACTATAAACGAAGCAATAATGAATTTGGTCGCACAATATGGGGCTTGAAAGGTTTGGGCAGTGGTGGATTCGTAACTAAACCACATGTTCAAGGAGAACTGATTGCAACAACTACAAGATCACATTCAAATGAATTGGTGCAAAGTGCTCTACGAGCAATCGAACCAACCAAAGTGATTCGTGTCGGTGGTGCTGGATATAAAGTATTACAGTTACTCGAAGGTGATGCACATGCTTATGTCTTTGCAAGCGCTGGATGCAAGAAATGGGATACTTGTGGTTAGTTTTCAACAAAATCGCGTTACCAAACTTAAAATAAAATCTACTAGTAACGAATTATTTTATTTTCCACAGCACCCGAAGCAATTCTTGAAGCTGATGGCGGAATTTTAACAGATATAATTGGAAACCACTATCAATACGGTTCAGATGTTGCATTTCTAAATAAATTGGGTGTAATTGCTACCGCTAAGAACATTGATCACAGTTCAATTATCAGCAAAATACCTGATGATGTTAAGGGAAAACTCAGCCAATGAACCATTTCGTTAACATTGATATGACATTTATGAGAAATTTCACAGATTATAATAAATCGTCTTAATTCAAAATACATTCCATTTGTCTTAGATAAATAATTTATTTTTCGATTAATTTTTTGCGTTGTTTTGACATTTACATGTCCATTTTTGAAACTTAATTTATTGAAAAAGAATAAAAACGAAAATTTCACACATTTATTTCTTTTTTGTTGTTGAATCCATTTTTCTAGACAAATTTGATTAAAAATAAAAGAAATTTATTATTTTTTCGTCTATTAACATGAACATTAATATTACTTGTGTTCCCTACAGACTTTACCATTAATACAAATGAAATTTCTGTATACTTTAAGGTGTTTTGTGATTGGATTTAGGGGAAAAAATATTGTGTAAAGGTAAGCGAAAATCGAGTAAAAGTAAATCTAAACGCAATTTAAATCAAATCAGCTACGTTCATCGGCATTTCGTCGATTTGTGTTGAATAGTACTGTTCAATGTCACGAAGAATTCGAATGTCATCGGATTTGACAAAATTGATGGCAACACCTTTACGTCCAAACCGTCCCGAACGACCGATACGATGAATGTATAATTCACGATTGTTTGGCAAATCATAGTTGATGACCAATGAAACTTGTTGAACATCAATACCACGAGCCCAGACATCTGTTGTGATCAGGACACGACTTTGACCCGAACGGAATTCTTTCATGATTTCATCACGTTCTTTCTGTGGCATATCGCCGTGCATTGAGCTAACGGTGAAATTGGCTTCTCGCATTTTTTCGGTCAACCAATCGACCTTACGTTTGGTGTTGCAGAAAATGACAGCTTGAGTGATGGTTAGCGTATCATATAGATCGCACAATGTGTCGAATTTCCATTCTTCACGTTCAACAGCAACGAAAAATTGTTTGATACCCTCAAGTGTCAATTCATCACGTTTTACCAAAATTCGAATGGGATCGGTCATGAATTTTGATGTCATTTCAAGAATTTCGTGAGGAAGTGTGGCTGATATCAAACAAACTTGTGTGGCTGGCGGCAAATATCTGTAGACATCGTAGATTTGCTCTTTGAAACCTTTATTCAACATTTCATCAGCCTCGTCAAGTACAAGCATCTTTATGGATCTTGTTCGTAGTACACGACGCTTAATCATATCGAATACACGACCCGGTGTTCCACTGACAATATGCTGACCATAGTCCAATTTACGTATATCTTCTCCCAAATTAGTTCCACCAATGCACTAAAAACGACAATCATTAATTAATTAATTATTATTCATTTTAGTAAAATTATTGTAGATAGTCATTTATTTACCGCATGGCACTGCACATTCATGAAATCACCTAATGCCAAAATGACCTTTTGAATTTGAACGGCTAACTCACGCGTTGGCGACAAGCATAATACTTGTGTTTCGCGCAGTGTTGTATCGAGCGATTGCAAAATGGAAATAGAAAATGTTGCCGTTTTACCGGTACCTAGATAGAATAAAACAAAGCCAGCATTGAAAATTTAAATAAAGCCGATTTTTAATCAATTCATACCTGATTGAGCTTGTGCAATCACATCACGCCCTTTCACAATTGGCAAAATACTCCGTTGCTGAATGGCTGACGGTTTTTCAAAACCTATAAAAAACAAAATCCAATCCGTTACATATGATTTATCGTACATAAATGTTGACCGCACATTTTTGTGAGGTTATATTTTTTCACACAAACACAATACATGTCACAGCCATATTGACTGAAGCATAAAAAGACCGTACGATATAAGTGTTCATATACATACCGTATGCATAAATCGCCCGAAGAAGTTCTTCTTTTAATCCCTGCAAATACGAATAGATGAATTTTTTGATTAAATAGCACGTTTTAAGTTATACAATAACTGTATTGAAAAAACATTGAAAGATTTCATCGATGCATTACATACCATAGAATTGAATGTGGGCACAACTTCAACTTCTTCGCTTGTTTCAAACTCAATGTTTGATAAATCTTCATTGGGTACTCCTCGTCGTGCCATTATTGCTATCTTTTTATTCGGCTCAATAAAATTCAAAATAAAATGACAAAAACACTTGCGAAAACTTTGATTTTTCTTGACGAGTTTACACTTTGTTTGACTGCGAAACCAAACACTGCTTTTTTAATACGTTTGGCATTTGACAACGCGCACAGCTATTTGCTCGGTTGAGTCGGTTACCGTACGATGTTGATGGCGTTGCTAGTCAATTCAATTGCACACACAACTGCAAATGGTGAAATCTCCAAAATAGAACGCATCCATTTCAAAGCGATAAGTATATTGTGCAAATGCCATCATTTGTGTTCATCATTTCAAGAAAATTATATTTATTTCACATTTGTTATGACTAAAATTCGGATTAAAAGTGTTTTTTTATAAAAAATTATTTACAACTGCTGAAAATTCTGTAAATATATGCCAGAAGTTTTGCAATGTCAGAAAATAAGTGAGTAATATCTTGTAATTTTTTATTTTTCCAAAATCTTTTTTTCCATCGAAGAGAATGCATATTGTCATTTTTGGCGCCAAGCGTCATATAACATATATTTACCTATTGAATACAGAAATTAAATTTTAATAAATGAACTTTTGTCGATTTTTAGTGAAAATGTTGTGACGAATATATGGTTTCGTTTTAAATTAATATGTATGATGGAATAATCTTATTTTTTTAGTAAAACAACGCGTAAACGTCCGGCTTCTCCGTTGATCGAATATAACAATAACAATGACGAAGTAACGAGGGAAAAAAGACGACGCATCATGGAAAGTAGACTGAAATCACAATTGGAATCAAACTTCACCGATAAAATGATTGTACCGTTAACATCACCAGATGGAACACGATCACGATACGGTCGTAAAATAAGTCCAGTTGAAGTACAAAATAATGAACAACGAAAATCGATGACAACACAATCAAGCGGCCAGAGCAAACGAAAAGTACGAAAAGTTTTTTCTATACATAATACTAGCAGTGAATTGCTTCGTTTTGTGTCGGACTATCAAACATCGGTTCTTAGAAAAAATCCCATTGATAAGTTGATATCAGTTAATAAAATTGGATTAAACAATGATCAATTTCAGACTCAACAAATCGAAATGGACAATAACAGTAATAGTAACACTGACATTATCTTTGACTTGTGCTCGGAAAATTCGGCAACATCCAACTCCATCCCGACGATGGATGAAAATATACAAAATATTCGATTTGAAACCGTAATTAAAAGTGAATACAAAATACCAAATGATTCGTTGGTTTCGCTCGAAATGGAAATCGATGTTGAAGACTTTTTAACAACGACCACTGTAATACGTGAAAAATACGTTTCGCACCAATCAACCGATTCGAATGAAATTCTCGATCAAGTCGATTTAACTAGTTCAACAGAGGGTAGTGTTGGTGGTGATGATGATAAATCCACATTACCGGATGAAAATGTCAACCCACCAGACAACGATGAGACTGATATTTTAAAAATTCACGAAATAGTTCATGGTTCAAATCAGATATCCGATTACGGAATTCTAACATCTGGTTCCGATGAAGTATCGACCAATGAGAAAACATTCTCAGAGTGCACAAGTGATGATTGTGTCATGGCTGAATTTTGCGACAGTGACTCACTTGAAAACTATCATTATGGTCAAATTGTATGGGCAGCGTTGCCAGCTTTCTGGCCGGCAGTAATCTCCAATTGCGAGCATGAGGAGATATTTAAAAAAGGTATGACACATGGCAATTTTAAGTTTTATTTTGTTGAATATTTATTCAATTCTATCGCTTTCAGACAATCTGATTCATGTGAAGTTCATGTACGATAATGCTCGTTACAGTTGGGTCAACAAAAGAAACGCATTATTACCATTCAAGGGTAGTGAAGAACTCATCGAAAAATGCAAGGTATTATTAATGAATCATGGTTTATAATAAAAAAATGTACTTTCAATCAATACCTTATAGGATTATACGAGTAAATGATTATCTATTTTGCATTTTCAGATGACTGCCAACAAACGAAATAAAGCATATAAAATTACATCGGGCAAACGATGGAATGTTGCTGTGCATGAAGCAAATGTGTTACAGTGCGTAAAACTAAGATATCGCATTGACTTCTATGATAAGATACTGATGAAGTCGGTGCATGAAATGGAAACAGATATACGTCGGGCTAGTCGCCGTAAAACAGATCGTTGCGATACGCCACAAACAATTGACACCGCCTATTCGTCGATGAAACAGTCTGTGTCGCCGGCATCACTGAGTCCGACTTTGAATGATTTAGATCGCAACTACGATGTTGATAAGAATATCAACAATTATTTGAAATCGGTCGAACTGAGCCGGCTGGAAGAGCTACCAGAAGATTATCAAATGGACGAAGCGGCATCGTTCGCCACACTGAATGAGTCACCAATATCAAGTGAACCAATTTATTGTCCGTTAATAAAATTAGTATATGACAAACTGCAAGAAGATGACACTTTTGCCAACCAAAATCAGAGCATCATTGCCAATGAAAGTAAATTTACGACATGTCTCAATGAACTGTGGTCGGAATTGTCAAAAACAAAGACGAATCGCGAATCGTCTTTGAAACGATCGAGTAGACGATTTTCGATATCTAGTGGAGAGTCCAATTCAACGACAAGCACACCAAAGCAAACCAAACGCCAAAAAGAACTTGCATACAAAAAAGAAAAAATTGAGCAACATCAAATGGTCGTCGAAAAGAGTGCCGAACATCAAAAACTAAAGCAAATTCAAACAAAGGAACAACGTAAGATTGAAAAGCAAAAACAACAATATGAAACAATAATGAATTGCTGTTTGAAAAATCATCCTTCCAACTTATTGCTAAAAGGATTGCCCAAAGATCCTGTTTGCCAATATTGTCTCGGAAGCGGCACTGTAATGAGGTGCGCAGGAAAATGCACCGGATATTTTCACAAAGACTGTTTTAACAAGCAGATTTCGGAGTCTGAATATAATGCAATTCTCAAGCGAAAAATGAAAGACACAATAAAGGCAATGAAAAATGGCGATGAACTGAATGACGATGTCATTTGTATCATTGTAGAAAACATAGACAAGGATAAATGTAAAAGTTGCATTACAACGGATGTGAATGTAAATATTTGCTTTGTTTGTTCAAAATCCGATGAAAAATGTGTTCAATGTTGCGAAAAAAATTGTGGAAAAGCTTATCACATTGAGTGCCTTAAGTATTGGCAACAACATAAAATACAATACGAAGGCAATAAAATCAAGAGCTTTTATTGTCCACGCCATGTTTGCCACACATGTATCTCGCCCGATATAAAGAGTATGTGCCACGGTAAAGAATCTGATAAGCGACTGATCAAATGTATGCTATGCCCGGGTACGTATCATCGTTCCGAATGTATTCCGGCTGGAAGTGAACTGTTGTCAGAAACACAATTGATTTGCGCTCGACATCAATCAACAAAAAATCAGAAACGCATCAACATCGACTTTTGCATCTTGTGCTCGAAAGGAGGCTCATTGATTTGCTGCGATGGCTGCGCAAATGCTTTTCATCAAGAGTGCCTAATTATTCCGGTTGGCGATCATTTTATTTGTGAGGTTAGTTATTTGTACTAACACAAAACTCCAACCATTATCAAATTCATAATATATTATATATATATATATTTTTTTTTTTCAAATTCAAAATGCAGGAATGCGAATCAGGTCGTCGGCCTCTATATGGTGAGATTGTATGGTGTAAATATGTAAATAGCCAATGGTGGCCAGCCGTCACCGTTCCACCACAGATGATTCCACAGCCAGTGTTTCGCGACAAAAAAGAGCCAAATCAAATTTGCATATACTTTTTTGCAACGCATAATTACGGTTGGGTATCACAGGGTCAAATTTATTTGTACCAGAAGGGCGACGGCGATATAAAAAGCAAAAAAGACAAAGAACTACTAAAAGATGCTATGGATGAAGCTGAGATTTGGTTCCATCGATTCCAAGAGATTTCGGACAAAAGTGGAAAATCGATAAAAGCCGGAAAACCACCTCCATATCGAAAAATCAAAGCAAATCGAGTTGTGGCCAAATTCAAAGGAATCGAATATAATGAATGCAAATGTCGTCCAGATGATCCGGCACCATGTAGCCAAGAAAGCAATTGTTTAAATGCAATAACAAACATCGAATGTGATCCAGAATTGTGTCCAGCAAAAGAAAAGTGTCAAAATCAAAATTTCCACAAAGGCGAACAATATCCATTTGAAATTCGAAAAACCGAGTGCAAAGGATGGGGGCTTTTTGCCAAAGAAGAAATTCCAGCCGAAAAATTTGTTATCGAATACATGGGAGAGGTAATCGACAGTGTAGAGTTTGATCAACGATTTAATCGCGCCAACGCAAATAAAGACGACAATTACTATTTTTTGACACTCGGTCAAAATCTATATATTGATGCTGCTGTATACGGAAACGAGGCACGATTCATTAATCATTCGTGCGATCCGAATGTTATGCATATGAAATGGTCCGTTTACTCCAATCGACAAGAACAGCTACGTACAGGATTTTTTGCTTTGAGAAATATTCTCCCGGTACGTATAATCACTACCCTACGTAAAAACGCATTTCATTCCTTTGAAAAAACAAACAAACAATGGTTTTCTTTCTCCTTTATGCAGGGCGAGGAAATAACATTTGACTACAACTGGCGAACAACTAGAAAAACAATAAAAAAAGCGGTTTGTCAATGCGGGTCAAGCAAGTGCAATGGCTACATTTGAATTATCGCCGAAGTCGCACACCTTTTTTTTAATATTTATTTTTTTTTCTTGAAGAATTTTCTGTTTTGAAGAATAAACATTGTTGTTGATCTTAATTTGTTCCCAATCTAATTTATCGGTTATAAAGAGACTAGAATTATTTTCTGATAATTCTCAATTATAATGACCTATAAAAATACAGACGTAGAATAGATAAAATGTGTAAAAATAAAATCACATCGGTCAGTAATATGTATGTAGACTTTACGAATTGATCTTCTCATTTGAATTGTGAAAAGGAGTCCAAATGCTTTTTCTTATGGCTTGCGGAATGGAGCACTGTAAACATGATAAAGTAGAAATTTGTTAATCACATTTAAGACTTTATGAAATGTTAAAGACTTTGTGAAATATTTAATGAAATCAATTTTATAAGAAGATTTAGATAGTTCTAGATGAATTTTTTTTGTGCCGAACTTAATGAGATTTATACTAAATATTAAAATAATAAAAGTCATTTTTTCCATTCGACTATTACAATGAGAACCTAGATGAGAACACGTTTGAATTTTTGTATGAATATTTTATTTGAATGGAGTTCATGTAAGAAGGTAATAATTCACAATTCCAATTACTTAACATTTAAATCAATAAAGTACAGAAATCACTAAAGTAAAGTACTTTTAATTGGATTTTATAGATATCGTGATACTTTAGTCTTTCAGTTATCCGTTTTCTTTCATCCGTTTAGGATAACTCGAAATGCAAGACCATAATACTTTAAGAGTATCATTTGAATTTTAGGCCCTTAAACTTATTTTGTTTACACATTTGGTTTCAATTTGAATACATATGCCCTACTATTCCAATGCCAAATGAAATTAATATTGTTATTAATATTATTCACTAGATATAATGGGTAAATAAAAGTATCGTTGAACTACATGTAATTAAAGGCTTATTATTTGGCTCATTATTCAAAATTTTGCGGCATTAAACCACATTTAAATGGCTGTAGCCAACACATTTCATAAATTACTTTTGAATTGCGTCAAAAAATAATGAATAAAAGCTTCACACCGGCCACTATCGAAGTATGAAAATCAGCATCGAAGTGGTTTATAATTTCAAAATGAATCGAAAGAAGAGGTGACATGATTATGGGGACTTTCTGACCTTACGTTCATAAATTTTTGGAACATTTTGTATTTAGGGATTATTCAGTGATAATTGAAATAACATTGAGTTTTACAAAAATCCAACCGGGGAGATATTTAATGAAAAATTTCCAGTGTTAAAAATGATCCTCTCTATTAAGGCCTTGCTATCTGTTTTCTCTTTCTAACTTGAGTAACTCTAGTACACACTGGCGTGAATAACAGACTTGGATCTATGTTTTAAGATAAGTTTGATTGATTTGCATGAGATAGTGAAAGCTAGAGAATATTTAACGCACTTGTGAGTCTCACTTATAATGAGCATTTGATTGCAAGCTGAAATGTAACATGAATTCGTGGAAGATCATCTTTTAGATGAATGATTTTTGACATTATCAAATTATTCAGTTTATTAAACTTATTGTAATATTTTTGACGATTTAAATATGCTACCCACAATTGAAGTGATCACTTTTCAGTCAAATATCATAATCACAAAATCCATACACATGGAAAATATACGACAAGTGTTGAAAATCTAACATTTGACATTTTTTCCCCAAATGTTGTCACATTAAGATAAATTCATTTAAATAAACCAGATTTTCCAAAATTTAACATTTGCAAAAATAATAAATTGTGGTTGAGAGTCTCAACATTAAGAACTATGAATAATAAATTGATTGGAGGATTAAATCTTTTCTTTCTTTTTAAAATATTCTAAGTTGGAACGATTGTGCTGTTTATATCCAAACTGATCATTTCTATCAAAGCTCATTATGATTGATAATCACAAGAAATAAAAATGTTATTTACATCATTAACATTTAAGCTCCCATAGTTTGAGTGTTATGACCTTTGAAGACTCAGTTTTTCATAAATAACCAACACTCTCTTTAAAAAATTGCATAAGAACAGTAACGTTTTTGTTTCTAGTTCTTTTATTGATAATGCGTTATTATTGTTTTACTTAACAACTTCAGCAAATATTTTGACATTACAAAAAATAATATTTAAAAGTTAAAAAAGATTAGAAAAATATAATCAAATTAAAAATTATTTCATATGAAAAGCAAATTGACATTGAACCATACAGACTACAGATAATCAATTATCAAAAAGTTGATAGGTAATTGATGAAAGTCCATTTGAAGCATAAACATTTGAATAATAAACAGATATTCCATTCACACTCATAAAAGTGTTTTTGAGTTTCCTGATAACATAAAAATCATATAAGAATAGAAAATTATATTGAAACAATATATTAAATTGTTACAAGTCCTTTGTCAACTACACATTTTTAAATTTGATTCAATTCGAAAAAAGCTATAACACCACAAATTCGGTGGAATTATTATTGATTCTTCGAAACATCTTATAAACAAACTGGTAAGTGATAAGAACACCAAAAATATACTTTTGATTCAAATACCATTTTAAATTTGGGTTGTTGCTTTCAAAATAATCAGTTGCTTACATGAATGAATAAAGTCGGGATATTTTTAAATGGGAAAGGTAAATTAATTTCATATTTCTAAAAAATAAAATTTCCAATAAAAAAGCCCCTGTTGATATGGAGCAGAATTCATCAAAGTAGAAAAATATTCACAGTTTCTCTCAAACCGGTTAATATATTCGAATAACGGTTCTTGTGAATGATACTTGATTGATATTTATTTTTAAACTACAAAATAGTTGTCGAGCCCAATAGGTTGCAATTTCTCTCATTTTTTTTTTGTAAACTTCACTAGACGTTTCTATTCATAAAGCACACTCAATTCGGTTTTTATCTCACGTCAAGAATTTTAATTCCGAAATCAATTTGAACGGCACCATATGTCATAACGTTGCCTTGAATCTTGAAAGAAGAGAGAATAAAAAGTGTTGGCATACGTAAACGTTTTTTTATGAATGAATTTCCGCTTTTTTGCGTACTCGATTAACAAATATCATCTTAAATTTGAAAAGTCATGTGTGGTTGCGCACATCTATCAGGAAACAAGTCTTACACCTTTTTAAATATAAAACACAATTAGATGCCAAAATGAACAGAATATGATTTGAGTTAACCATTGGTATTTGCAAAAATAAAAGTTAAAAAAAACGATCTGTGGTCATGAAAGAGCCGAACATGGATTAGCTATAGAAACAGAATCAAAAATAAAATAAAAGAATATTGCATAACTAAGTTGGGTTCTAAATCAATGTCTATGACATTTTTTTTCTTATGTTTCATTTTTATTTCGTTTTTTTTTTTCAGATTGAACTTTTTCAGTTCAGATCCATGGGATTGGATACATTCGTATATAATTATCAAACTCACATCTTTTGCGTATATGCGAAAATCCCAAGCAAAAATTTCCCCTGGGCCGTTTGCGGTTTTGCGAGTAGTACAAAACTCTTTTCACATGCTAAAATATCACGAGAATTAAATTACTTTTGGTTATTTGCAGTTGTGTTACTCATACGTTTTTGAAATAACAAAATTAAAGAGAAAGATTTTTTTCTTCATTTCGAACAAGAATGATTTTTTTTTGTTATTTTTGGATAAGGTTATTTATTTCCATTGAAAACGATTGACAAGCAAATTCGCAATTCATCTGATCAGCTCGAGATATGTAGCGTTGCGTTGATAATGTTTTTTTGATTGTATATTGACAATAATAACAATAATAACAATGTAAACAAATGAATGTTTCAATTAAATACAAAACAAAACTTGCATTATCTTAACTAGACGAACCAACTACATTTGACTTTAGTTCGCCTTCAATTTGACAAATTAATGCAATTCAAGCATTATAAACTGTTTCAAGTGAAATCAGTTTTTGACGCAATTTTCCATCTATGCTGATTAAACATTATGTTTAATTTGTGCCCCATGACAAATTGAAGCAATATGACTAATTAGTTGATAAGACCAGATTATGAGATCAATGGGATTTCACGGAAATAAAATTTCCGTCGCGATGACTCGATTATTAAATCACATTCTAACACAGTTTGAAAGAAAAACAACAATACTGATCTAAATTCACTTACAAAGTAAATTCATTGACGCTTGTCATTATTGTGAGTCATTTGTGATTGATATTAAAATATAAAAAGCGAGCAGAATAAAATTGAATAATAAAAAACAATGGTTTATTTATTTGGATGGAAGTTTTAAGAACTTTAAACACCAATTATCTATGAAATATAGTCTCCGGCTCCCAACAAAAACGATCAAATAATAAAATGTTTGTAACAAATCAGAATCCAAAATACACGTTTTTTTCTTTCAATGTTTATTATCGAATAATTTCCAATAGCCACAAAATTGTGGTTTTGCTAACAAATTAAAACCCATCAGAGTGAGGACGATTAACATGTTTAGAAGAGAAGGAAAAGGTTAATCGTATGCAATCGACGAAACTGTTAAAAGCGTAAAAAAGAGTTTCAATTCATTAAAAATAAGCCTGAAAAGTAATGGTGAATTTGTAATGATCATTATTGTAATAAATGAAACCAAATCATATATTCATTTCAAAAATGATGACACCGTATATGTGAAATAAATAGAAAAGAATTTATTAACAAATATCAATTTTCGGAGAGATAAATTTCCAAAAGCAACGAAAATGTCGTCATTAATTTGTCGTTCTCATTACACATGATTTTGTGACTTCACAAGCAACTCACATTGTAAATTTTGCGAGATAAACCAAATGCGTCACTCATCTGGATATTGGAAATAACCAAAAACTACAAACACGCACAACAGTAAAGCGAAAAAAAAACCAATGAATTTGTCCCATTTGAAGCGTTAGCAATGTTAACTTAACGCTGATAGCTGGCCAACGTAATATGTCGTATGGGAGAGCGCAAATACATAAAAAAATGATGTCGCGTTAGCTGCAACACGTTTTCTGTTGTCATGTAAATTGTTGTTGTGATGCCTTTCGATCACAATATTCGTATATGTTTTATATATGTAACAATCAGCTGGTTGTGTGTATATGTAAAAGACCGAGAGAGGCCAGGCCGCAGGTGCATTTTGAATAAATATATATGACGGTGTGCTGAGACAAAATTTAAGTTATTGTTAAATATCGTGTTGTAGCAGCAAGTTAAATAAGCGGCTAAATCACAATTAAACGGCAACTGTTTTTGGTGTTTGAATTTTTGAATCGACAAAGAGAAATTGAAGTGGCCGTTTTTTTTTGCAATTTAACAATAATTGGGGCTTTTCCGTTCAATCGAAAAGTGTTTGTTTTCTTTCTATTAGAAAAAGGCAGTAAACAAATTTAACGATTTTTTTTGTGAGAACGTTGTTTTTGTGATATTTAGTAATCAAAAATGAATTTTTACCAAAATCTGGGGATTTTTTTAGTGATATTCTTTTATTTGCAAAATGGGTAAGTGATTGGCAATGCTTCTTTTTTATTTTCAAATTGAAGCAAATATCAATGTAAAAATTATACGAAATTATATCACGCAAAAAATTTGAATGGTGCAAAAGACGTCAAATCCTTAATGGTTTTATAAGTTCATTGTGTAGTAGGATTATTGACAAGTGATTGATAATTAACTTTAAATATTGTTTCTCGTTTGAAAGATAGTAATTAGAACCCGTTTCATATTTACCTATTTCTGAATCAAACAAAGAATCGACATTAAATTGTCGATTTAATTTGAACGATTACTATTTGTTAATAATCCCATGCGCACCTGATTGATGCTAATAAATGTTTATAACGATAAATGGTGAGCATTATTGAACAACAATTAGACTCGAACCGGACTCCTGTTTTTTTTTTTTTTTTTTTTTTTTTGCAAATATTTTTGCTTATACTAATAATTCCATTCGAATTTAGTTCAAGGCACACATATATTCAGTGCCTTGTTCTAAAAATAGAGTTTATGGTTTACCGAAAATGGCAAAATTTCGCACAAAGTGAATGGAATTGGTTCTGTTTCTTTGTTTCAGAGAATACGAAGAAATTAAGGACCTAGCTAAGCGGATCTCGTTAAAATGAATAAATAACACAAATTATTCGTTTAAGACAGATAGCATCTATCGGGGCATCTATCGAAATAATCGAAACAAAAACTTTTTATGATATTCAGCTATTTTATGCAAAACGATTTCTTGTCTACCCGGCACTATAAGTCACGCTTTTATGACCCTTCAACATATAAAATTGAATTGCCATTTTTACCTTCTCTCATAATTCTTTTTTTATTTCTAACACGTGGATCGTGTCAAGATCAATGGAACAAAAAACTCCCAATCCATGATGCACAGCATTTTCTTTTTGCACATAACTTATTTTTATCTAAATTGTCTAAACAAAAATCTATTATTAATATCGATTCATGATGTGAAATCGGTAGGATGCTAATATACAAATGTAAATTAAATGCTGATCGCATTGAATTTATGAGAATAATTTGAAATTTAAATGCAAAACGATTCTTCTTCATTTTCTTTTCAAGCAACCAGTCTTATTTTAAATTTCATGCAGAAGATTGTTCAAGTCATATATTTTTGAGGGCGTGCAGCCTTTGTACGTACTTGTACATACATATGGCGTCAAAAGAAGGAAAAAAATTGTAGATTTATTTATTGACATATAGCACTTTGCTTGCGGCGAATAGTAAGCCAGTTCATTTGGAATGTATAAATGAGTGCAATTTAGACTGATAATAATCAATTCGAAAACGTGACATAATCCCACCAACAAAGACATGGTTTTCTTTGATTTGGCACGATATATTATAATATCGACTAGATACGATTTGACCCCTTTGATTCTCATTCAATAGATAAATACATAATTAATTCGTTTTGTTCATATGGTATTTTTTTTTTCTTCTTATTTGTTATTTTGCAACAGGTGGTGTGAGAAGGTGAATCGAAAATTTCCATCAGATTTTCTATTTGGTGTTGGATCATCGGCATATCAAGTCGAAGGTGGATGGAATAAACATGGCAAAGGAGAATCAATTTGGGATGTTTTAACCCATCAATACCCGGAGAAAATGACAGATAAAAGTAATGCTGATGTTACATCCGACAGCTATCACAATGTAAGCTATTCATATGTGTACAAAGACACCCATGTTAATCGGGTTCGTCGCTTTAGATTTTTCCTTGTTTGAATGATCTATCAAAGCATTCTTGAACTTGACCTTGTGTAAATAATAAATAAGAGAATAATAATTGAGTTAATACGTATGAAGATGAGTTTTAAAACAATTCATAACCACGCGTAAAAGTGTTCAATATTTAGATGATTGATGAAACGGGCGCAAAATATTAAAATCAATGAGTCAAACTGTTGCTACTTTGTTGTCATTTTTTTTTTCAACAATATTTTCTTAGCGAGCACATTTTTTTCTTTCTTTTTTGAAGTGTTGCTTAATCCCACAATAAACTTTAAACGTTTTCTATTAATCAATAATAGCAATCACAGCTGCTGACAATCTAATAACAATTGAATTCATTATTTTGCTTAATCATACGATGATTTTTTTCTCTGAATTTTTTAATAAGTGCCAAATCAAATAGCAAATAGCATCCGCAAATCATACAGAACTAGTTTAGTTCCGCAACATTTTGTTATATGAAATTTTTTTCTATTGAAATTTTAAACAATTACTCAATTGATTAGCATAAATCATATTGCAATGAGCTTTTCAATATCAATCAATACTCAATCAATATGTGCAAATCGTTTTTTTCCCCAACTAATTCACATGAGATTTGTAAAACTTGTTTCTCATCGAACACAAAGTCATAAAAAGTGTGATTTCGTTCAGTTCCAGGTGTTTGATGTCTTTACGTACGAGAGATAAAAACAATTTGCTTTCATTTTAGTGGCGTCGTGATGTGGAAATGGTTCGCGAACTTGGCGTCGATATTTATCGATTTTCAATTTCATGGACGAGAATTCTTCCAAATGGTTTTGTCACTAATGTTAATAAACATGGAATCCGCTACTACAACAATTTAATCAATGAATTATTAAGGTAAAACATTCTATTTTTTTTTCTTGATATCTTCTTCTTTTTCACATTTGTTTTCATTATCCAGAAATGGTGTGCAAAGTATAAAACGTTTTTGTTTTTGTTCATTCAATTAAACAGATATAATATTACGCCAATGGTGACAATTTACCATTGGGACTTACCTGCACGTTTACAAGAATTGGGTGGATGGACAAATCCAGCAATTATTGATTATGTGACTGATTATGCAAAGATTTTATTCGAACAATTTGGCGATCGTGTTAAGGTGAATAAAACGTTTACTTTTAATATAATCAATAAATAAACGACTATGATGTTATTTTCTTTTCCAAAAAAAATGCCAGCATATTTTAAGAAGAAAAACACAAATATTAAACAGATGAAAGTAAAATGTCCAATTTCAATTTGAATGATTTGCCCATTTTGATTCAAAAGTTGCTGCAACGTTTGTTATAACCTTTTCTTTTAAATCTTTTTTTTTTGTGGATTTGCGTGATGATTAGATATGGACGACAATCAATGAACCTTGGCACATATGCGAACAAGCGTATGGCGTTGATTTTATGGCACCAGCTATGAATTTTCCAGGCATTCCAAGCTACTTGTGCGGACATAATTTGTTGAAGGCACACGCTGAAATTGTTCACTTATACCGAGAACGCTTTCAGCCAACTCAAAAAGGTACGTTAATTTACATCACGACATGTTCTAAATTTGAAAATCGATCTGACACTATCAAAAGACAAAGAGGCTTAATGCGTCGGTTACACTCCGCACAATTCCACTCAATATATTTGTCGACTTGTGTGATTTTGTCAAGTTGTTAACACTGCGTATTTTTTTTTGCTTCTTTTGATCCAACCGAGATAGCTTGTAGATGCGGTCAGTGACTTTGGCATTTCATGTTTATTAGTTCGGTTAGTAGTTAATGATCTAATAATATGTTAAACCATTTAAAACATTAAAGCGCCAAACATACATAAACTTTAATTCAATGTGCATTCAGTTAAGGCTATGATATGTGCGCAAAACCTATACACTCTGTAACAGTGGTTGAAACTTGATACAGTCTTAACATGATCATTTCACTGTCTGTCTATGAGCACATTTAAAATGTTGATCTTGATACATTTCAAGTGCTTTTTGTATGTATGGTGGTGTTTATATCAGCAACGCCAACAGCATCACTAGCTTTATTGAATTTTCACGCTCTTGTTATTCTCTTTTGATCATTAGTTTGCTTGTGGTTTGTCTGATTAATTGCTCAGAAATGTTACAATTATTATGTGAATTATTTCTGTTTTTAATGTACGACAACTTATGAACAGAGTGTGCTTCGTTGTGAGATATAAATTAGCAATCACACCTCAGTTTAGTTTCATTCGAAGTACAACCAATATTATCTTCAATCAGAATCAATATGATCGTATGCCATTTTCACGCATTTTCAATGCTATAATCATTGTTTTCACAACGCAAATGAATATATATGCATGCCAAGAATACACGACTGTAGTAAAAATACTTAAGTTTGTCAGTTTCATTCAATTCTTGACAATTCGAATGATTCACAACGTGACTGGTGGTTGTAAAGTGATATTTTCCTGCACAATCCTACCGCATGCATGAATACATAATTGATTATTATTGTGATTACGCATTTCATGTGTTATTTTACTCACATATCTATTTGTTATACATTTATTCCTGTAAACGGTAATATGCTGTGTTTCGCTATATTTCCTTGCTACTCATTCCGGCATACGATATTCTTTTAATTTACGTTAAACCTCGCGTTCCACCCAACTTTCTAATTGGCTTTGCCAACCAAAACATTACACCGAAGCTCAGCGACGAGTTCAATCATGATTTTATGCATCACATGTTGTGGTCATCACCTTTGCCATTCATTTGTACATATTTTCCAAAACAAAATCACCAAGATCTTGTCACTTTCCAAAAACAAGTCTTTTCATTTACTTATTTTCATTTATCTCTGCAAATGGATTTTTTTCACATATTTTGTTCAACAACTTGTTTATCACACATTACGCTAAATAGTAATCGCACACCAACTACCGTAAATGAGAATTTCCTACAATTTAATAGAAAGACAAAATCAAATTAGAAATCAATTTGCAAATACCAATCAAAATATTCTGTGTGAGCAAATTCTGTTCTTTATCATCGATGAAGCAAAAAGTTATATTAAAAGTATATTTTATGCATGCTGATTCAAAGAGTCAAATATGTAAATAAAAAAAAACAAGAAATTCGCATGAATATATCAAATTTAAGGAGTGTCACATTAACATATCGATCGACGTGAGAAATTGATACATAATCTAATTCATTAAAGTGTATCTATTCGATCTGAAACTGAATACTTAATTTTACAACAATGTTCTTAGCAGATGTTCAACGATTTAACTAATACACGTTTTCGATTAGAAAAGATCAAATCTCTCTAAATCACATTCCTTTCATATCACTAACGATGACGTATTAGCCAAATTTAGAGAGAAAAGAATTAAGAAATTTGCTTTCATGTTAGGTCGAGTTTTTTATATAAATTTTGATGACTTTGAGCATGTTTGAGCGAGTTTAGTTTCATGTTTCACACATATATACAAATATCAACACGCAAAATTAACGCAACATTGATCAACGAGTGCACATGATCACATCGAATGTAAACAAAAATCAGAAAAAAAAATGTATGACATTGCCAAACGACTGGAATATACATTCTATATCAATGTCATGGTCATTTTAAAAGGAACCTTTGTGAATTATTCAAATTACAAACTAACAGATGTTTAGCCATATTGATATTGTTATGCTTTTTTAATTAAATCATTATCATTCAAAGTGCACGGATCGATTTTTATCAAAACTGAGTCACTCATTCGTTACGAGAGCAAATGTTTGCTGTCATTTATGATACCATTTCCCCAGGATAATCAAAATAATTTTTTTTTAATTAAATCGTTTTTTTAAATAGGAAAAATTGGAATTACAACCGATACGTCATATACCCAGGCCAAAACTGACTCGAACGATGATAAGATTGCATCAGAACTTGCTCTACAATTTTATGTAAGTACAAAAAAAAAAAAAAACAAACAAATAATGGTATTTGTTTAAGAAAAGAGAAAACAATTATTGTCGCCGGTTTTTGTTTTAGTCGTTGATTTAATTACAACTTTGTTACAAGCGGCACTTCTAATTAAAGTTTAATTATTATGATGGCGAACAAAAGTTTTGTACTCACTTAAATCTATTAAATGCAAACGGGAAAAAAAATTCAACCGACTTTTTAAAATAACAAAACTTGAAATGAAAACCGACAAACAAAACAGAAACAAGAAAAAAAATCGTAACTCAAAGTTTTACTAGCAAAATAATAAAAAATTCTTCCTTGTCCAATTGGCACATATTCTAGTGTTCACCTGAGATATATTTAGTCAGTTTAATTAGTTCATTTACAATGAAATTGAGCGTCATTCGTAAACGCTGATGGTTACATAAAAGTGCGGTTATTAATTTATAAATCGTCACATTGACTTTTAAGTTAAGGCCAACAGAATAAACAAACTAAAAACAAATGTATGACGGAAAAGTGCATGAAACTCATCACATTCGATTTAAAATTGTTTTTACAGCTTGGTTGGTTTGCACATCCGATTTTCTCAAAGAACGGTGATTATCCTCAAGTAATGATCGATCGAATTGAAGCCCATAGTAAAATGCAAGGTTTTCCACGATCACGTTTGCCGACATTCACTGCCGAGGAAATTGAACGAATTCGTGGCACGTCCGATTTCTTTGGCATTAATTCTTATACAACTGTTTTAGTTACACGTAACGATCACAATAATTCAGCTAATTTTCCAATACCGAGCTTCAATCATGATATGGGCGTTGTTGAATCGGTTGACGAAAATTGGACAAAATCCGCATCAGTTTGGTTGCACGTAAGTTTCTTATATATTTTCCCAATTTTTTATATTCACATATCAAACATAACATTGATCATAAAATCAATAAGACAATAAGAATATAAAACCAGTCACGGTTGATTGACAGATAACAATGTTTTTCGTTTCGTGCTTCAAATGTTAAGTATTTTCTCTTTTTTTTTAAATTCTATAGCCCGTTCCTTCCGGTATGTACAATTTGTTGATGTGGATCAATAAAGAGTACGACAATCCGCCAGTGATTATAACAGAGAACGGTGTTAGCGACAATAATGGAGTAAACGATATGGATCGTGTCGAGTATTTGAATTCATACTTATCTTCTATTTTAGATGCAATGGTAAGTCAAAATGATCACCATTTCGATGATAAATTCGCTAACATAATAAATTATTTTCTCAGGATGATGGTTGTAAAATTCAGGGCTATATTGCATGGAGTTTGATGGACAGTTATGAATGGAGAGCTGGTTTCTCGTTAGTATTTCCGTTTTTTGTCATTCGAAAAATAAAAATCGAAACAATGAAAAGGATGTCACCACTCACATTCGTTTATTTTATAACAATTTTAGTGAACAATTTGGATTATACCACGTTGACTTTTCCAGTCCGGAAAAAACACGAACGCCAAAAGCATCGGCTAAAGTGTATGCCCATATTATTCGACATCATGCTGTTGATTGGGAATATCGTCCAGAGCTAAGCATCATCAAATATCCAAGTGTTATCCAGGCACAAACTAGTGGCCATTCATCAAATAGCTCATCAGCTGCCATAACAAGTCCGATCGCAATTTTACTTGCTGCACTTGTGCAGTATTCTATTCATTTATTTCTAAGAAAATAGGCCCATTCAAAATCCAGGCATACGTATATTATTCAGTTCAGCTATACTCATTTTTTTTATTTTAATTGCAAACAAAGCCCATCGCACTATTTATTTCATACAAATCGTGTTATTAATTTTATCAAAAAAGTCTTTTATCGACTTTTTTTGCCACTCTGAAATATGTAAAAAGCATTAGAAATAAGTTGTATCGATTAAAACAAAACTGCGATTTATGGTCAATACATGATAGTTCGATTATATTGTTTGATAAATGATGATATATTTCTGTTTTAAAGCTAGAAGAATTTCAAGTAATATTAAGTTGCAAATGTTGCATTCCTCCTATTTTATAAATAAATGCTTGACAAATTCGATTAAACAATTGTTTTAATTTCAATGTTCCAGCGAAAGTGTTGCACGTGTGCTCAATTGTATTAATCAAATAATTAGTTTGTGGCATATTATTGATTATTTGACCCCGTTCAATTTTACCATATTCTCTAAACAATTCAATAAACATAATGAACATTAACTGTCAGTCATTTGAATTCATTTTCACAGCTATTTGACCCGTAAATATGATACGGGCCTATAAAATCAATTTGAAAATCGTTTGCATTCCAGAATTGAATGAATGTTGAATGCGTTCACATTAAATCTGGTTCTTGGCAAAAATTTTGTCTCAAACGAACCGTTGCAACAACATTTGATCTGAATCGTTGACTAAATACGCCCGTACTTAGGCAACATAGATTTTATGTGTAGCAATGGACATTTTTCTCTCATTTAAATGACAATAATCTTCTTGCTTTCTTTTTTTCTATTGATTTCATTTTAATGTCCAAAATAAATGATATGAAAACGGTAATATTTCTCGTTTTTTTGTTCTATTTTTCTTACCAAGATAAAGAGATACCTCTCATCAAATGATAACATTTGTTTAAATTCAAAATGTTCTCTAAAAAGGTATTGATTTTTAAAATCTTTATCAATTTTTTCAAGCATCAATACCAGTTGGCAGTCTTCATAAATATGTTATTCATTTGAAACTTGAAAAAAAAAAAAAACGTTCAAAATTGAGGTAAGTTAATTTGAATGACAAAAGACCGATTCTCCAATGTCGAACATTTCGACAAATCGTGATTTGCTTCTATAAGAAATTTAAATCTGTTATTGACTATTAAATAGATTCAAAGGATTGCTACATTTCAAGTTATTCATGAAATTATATGCCAATTGAACCCTCGAAAAAAAAAACGTTTCAAGGTAAAAAAAATGCAAATATAACTATGGGCTTGTTTTGAAATAGTTTTGATTCATATATATATATACACCATTGAGTTAAGGCACACAACACACATTTTAACTGAAAATGCATTTGGTGAATGGCGTTTCTCTGTAAATTTCATGGTAGTATCATTGCATGCATTCGAGAAAGGAAAAGAAAACAGAAGAAGAAAAAACCTCAATCATGCATTTGAATGCAAAAGAGAATCCATTATGTGTACTGTTTTTTTATACTAAGAACAAGACTCTCTCTATATATGCAGCGGTCGTTTAGCGTTTTCACAAATAGAAATCATGTCCCGTGATGATGATGATGTTGTGTATCTGTGTACTGCAGCTTTACATTTGCAGATTGTGTCATACACAATACAGCACAGGTAATAGTTACCAAGAGGCATAAACGAATAGATGCAGTGGCATTAGTAGTCAACCATCGCAGGCAGCAGAGCAGATGTACGACAAATACAGCGTATATAATAGTAATAACAATACTAATGATAATAAAAAAAGAAATCATCGTCATTGCAATGGATCGAAAGAGTCGAGTGAGCGGCAAAATATTGTAACAAGAAGCATCAAGCAGCTTTGTGCATTGGAAACAAACGCTGCCTATATATCCATTCCGATTTTTTTTATACTAATAAACTTTTTCTTCTTCTTCTTTATTTCATTCCTTTTTGCACCATCACTTTGATACATCGCAGCGTTTAGTAATTTCTCTCTTATGGATTTTCACATTCTCATTTAATTTTCATGTCCTCCATGAAATGGTTTTTAGCAAAAATGAATACAAACAAAATAACAACAAGCATGAAATGCATCATTAAAGAATTTCGAAATTCACAGTTAAAAATCGTGCAACATGCTATCCATGTGACCAAAAACCATGAACGTACGCGGAAAACATTCGGCGAAAAAATACAACACACTACAGTTCAACGACAAATGGCAAAAAAGAAATAAGAAAAAAAAAAACATGCAAACAAAAATATCCGCACGAGGAGATGAAAATAAGTAAACAAGAGTAGAAAAAAAATACGAAACAAAATCAAAACAGTGCTAAAAGAATGACTTTGTAAGTGAACACGAGCGCGCGACATCGTATCGCGCAGTGCAAAATAAAGAAACCGAACACGAATGGTTCGGTCAGTATCGTTTAGGCAAGTAAAACCATCGTTGCACTTCACTTGATCTGCGTTCGCCGCAAACAATGAATGTTAAGTTGTAATTTTTTTTATCACCAAGAAGTGCAGAGCAGCAGTTTTCGTCGGTTTTTTTTTTCGCTACACGCGTCCAGGGGCAAATTCGGACAAATTTTGGTCTCTCTCTTCAGCTGTACAAGCTATCTGGTCTTATCATTCGCATATGAGTTTGCCAAATAATACCGCTTCGCTCGTTGAAATGAAACAGACACACGATTATATTTCGTGAATTTGGCGCGTTGAATAGCGATCGCCAGCGATATAAATATGCATCAATATCGATTGTTAGCTGTCTGATTTCGATGAATATGGGTTGCATCTAAATTATAGAAGGGGACGTGATATTCAAGCACATTTCTGCAATGAAAACCGGGACAATGATTTTGTCTTGTTCATTATGTTTGTTCTCGTTTTTCGTATTTGTGAATAATTTTCGTCATTCAATTCGTGGGCTCGATGTGTTGTTGTTTTTTGTGTGTGCGCGCGAATGAAGCATATAATTTTTATTCTGTTAAGTGCTGTTATTTTAAATGCATTTTGGTGCATATATTCCTTTCTGCGTGTTTTACGCGCGCGCATTTCTTTTTGTTTATATATGTTGTTGTTGTTGTTGTTGTATTTTTGCTCTTGTTCTTGAATTTCTTTTCTTTTTTCCCCCTTTGCACACATTTTTCGATGAAGTGCGATGATGCATAGTCTGCTTTGCATCGCAAACGTCATATGAATTTTATTTTTAGATTCATTTGGCGTTTTGTCTTTGCCATATCTTTATTGTTATTATTCATATGATGCAAAAGGAAACCACAGGCTGTTAAATAGAATGGATGGGAGTGCACATTATGAGATGCGAAATATGGATCGTGTGTATTCATTGCCAAAATAGAGTGTATGGTACGGAAGAAGAGATAAGGCGTACACTTATTAAACACATTCATTATGAAATCGAAATGGATGTACGCGAGCCGGCAGTCGGGCGACAAGGCACATTTTCAAACAACAACTCTCGTTTTTTTTTTGTCAACAACTCTTTTACCATTTGCTGGTATTTCGTTATGCGTACATCGTTCATCGTAATAATAATATGCGTTATATATAATATTTGAACTTGGATTCAGTTTGAATGTTCAATGGAACAAGAGAACGGATCAAAATGAAATTCCTTTGATATGACGTGACCATTTGACACAGACGATTCAATTATGGTACTTAATATGACTGATTGTGTTTATTGTGGTTTTAATTTGTCCAAATTATTGAAATTGTTCATTTTAGTGGATTGATTGAAATTGATAAGCCGGTCAACGTCACCATACATGCAACTGGTGATACTGCACTTTAAACATTTTGATGCAGTTGCAATGGAACATACAATTTGGTCGATTTATTTAACATATTGATTTCGATATTCGATTGAAATGAAGAAAAGACCCACAAACAAATATGCATGTGATGTTTGATCGACAAAAAAAGATTGCGCGGAGGAATGGGACGAACAAAGACGCTCAATAGAATATATAAAGGCAGCCGTCCAATGAAGCAAACAAAGCGAAAAAGAATTTCCGGTCTATTGAAATCAGACTTTATCAAGCAGAACTGCTAAATTCGATTTCATTAAATTCAACTTTATTATTCAATAAAAAGTCATACTCATACATACAGTCATCGCATTTGGTTCTCTTTATTTTTCTTCTCTTTCTCAACGTCTAAGGGACAAATGCACACGAGTGTTCGCATAATGAATATCTACTAGTTAAATCGTAGCTATAGCAGTGCCATCACTACACTGCATTTACGATCAAACATACAATTTTCCTTGAAAATAATCCGCTTTGTTTCTTCGCAATGGCAAGAGAGACGAAAAAAAAAAAAACAAATCAGCATCAACAAAAACTTCACAAGCAGATCAAAAGTGACATTGATTTACCAATGATTTATGTGAGTATGTGTATTTCGCTCTGTGTGTGTCGCTCTCCTCTATCTTTCTTCTGTTCTCAAGTAATAAAATGCACTGTAAACGTTCGCATAAGTTGCAATTCACAATTTTGGTTTTCATTCTGACTAACACGTAAATGCAGGCGTATGCTTTACAACGAATTGTTTCGCTTTCATTGTACAAGTCAATGCTCCATATCGTGGCATTTGATAAGCCGTCAATATTTATATATATATATGCAGAAACAGGTACAAGAAAAAGACAATTTTATTTCATTTTCCCGTGACGAACGCATTTATAGCAACGAGAACAATATATGAGCGAATGTGATGGAAAAACGTCGATCTTTTCTTGGAGATACGTGATAGCATGTAATTATGGTTTGTTCACCAATTTACTAAAACGTGACTGTTTTATTTGTTTCCATTTCTGATGAGGTCTGACTGTTCCTTTGATATATTTTTGTGACTCCTGAATGGTCACTGGTTTCACCACTTGTTCACTTGTGTTTAAAAAAATGATTTTATTGAAGAAAAATCACACTCAATTTTGTTGTTGTTGCTGTGTACGTCAGTTCGCTTAACAAGTAAGGTACTATAATACAATCGCGGAGAAAATACACAAAAAAAAAAATAGAAATATCAACAAAGACTGACATTGGTTGCGTGCATCGCGGTAACCATTAATATTGTATTATTACAAGTGTCCACCGTATCGAGTTGCAAAAATAGAACACCTTAAGCATGAAAACCATCTAGTTTGTCTATCAGTCGTGCGAGCGTTCAACGACTCATACGGACATGCAACCATAAATAATCATTCATTTCGATCTTTGAGTCCTGAACACACACATATGTCCATGAAATAACAATTTGAACACAAAAAAAAATGAACTT